CACTTGAAAATCAGTTACACACCTGGACACAGGTAACAGAAAGAAAAGTATATTTAAAGAAATACATTATTAACTGAGCTGGTTCCTATAAATCTTTGAGTTAAAAATGTCTTTTATATATGTTTAGAAGGAAAAATGTTGGAGTAATGTTAGATATGTATGAGATATTAATTAGGTCAAAATTGGTATTGGTAATCCAAAATAAAAGATAATTGAGTTATTTAAAGAGTGCAGTGAAAATTCACTGCAATGACACAGGGAAACAGCTACTAAAGGTGTAAAACACCAGGGCTATATTTTCACTGAAATACTAAAAGTTGGGAGATCCAATGAGGATTTTCAAAATCATGAATTGGCTTCAGAGCCTAAATTGTGAAGTATTATTTACAGTGATTGAGAATCAGAGCATGAATTTGGGAGTAAATGATAAACTAGAAGAATGAAGCAGAAGTTAAATGAGGGGGCTGTCAGAAATGGAATGATCTGGAGGTGCTGGTGTTGGACTGGGGTGGACAAAGTCAAAAAAAGTGGAGTGCAGTCAGTCCACCATTTTAGCTTGTTCACTCACATCAGTTATATGATCCTTTGATCTCTCTGCCCATCATCTCTCTGCCTATAAACTCTGGGTCTGTATGCTCTCCTCTCATTGCACTTGACAAAGGGGTTGTGCTCCGATAGCTTGTGTTTTCAAATAAACCTGGTGGACTATAATCTGATGTTGTGTGATTTTTGACTTTCTCCACCCCAGTCCAACACTGGCACCTCCGCATCATTTCATTTTCTGACAGCCCTCTCATTTAACTTCCGCACACATAGACACACTCTCTCTCTCTCTCACACACACACACAAACACTCACACACACATACTCAAACACACGCTCTCTGTCCCGCACAAACACACACACACACACTCACACACTCTCACACACAGACACACAAACATTTTTGAGCACACACACACTTTTGTACATTCACAGACACACACACACTTTCACACGCACTCACACACACGCACACATACACACAGACTCTCTCTTTCACAAACACAGATACACTCGCACACACACTCGCACAGACATGCACTCAAACACACACACTCTCACATTCTCACAATCCCTCTCACACAAACACACACACACACAGAAACACACTCTCTCGCACAAACACACACACACACTCATACTGTCTCTTGCTCAAACACACTTACTTACACACTCACACACTCTCTCTCACACCAACACACACACTCACTCTGTCACACACAAACTCACACACACTCACACACACACACACACAAACACATACACTCACACACACTGTCACACACACACACACACTCTCACACAAACACAGTCACACACACTCACTCTCTCACACACAAACATACACTCACATACAGACTCTCTCACATACACATGCTCTCATACATTACACTTTCTCATACTCACACACACACTCTCTCGAGCACACACACCCATATAAACCTATGGGGCGAATCATTTCATCCAAGGTGATTGTCTATTTGCAGATACATTCTATTTTGTTCAAGAAACACACAATTTGTAATCACAGTCAGTCAGTGTGGCATTTTATAAATTCCTGATTTCACAATAAAACCAGCCTGATTCCTGGTTAAAACTCTGAGACAGATTCTGAACAAAGCCTCACACCTACAATTCAGTGTCTGACCTGAGATGTCACCTTTTGTATATATTCCTATTGCTCTGCCTGTTTGAAGTTTGGAAAGTTAGGCAGTCACTGATGAAACCTTTAATTATCTTGGGGCAGTGACTTGAAACAGATTCTGGAATTTGCATCTTACTCAATCGAAACTTGTGTCTCCTTTCTAACAGCATTCTCCATATCCTGCTTCTGCAATTTCTAGAATGCAGGAATGTATGAATGATTAAAGATTCAACAGGAGGCAGTCAGTCAGCCAGTTTAGGTTTGTTCACTCCACTCACACCAGTTGTATGATCCTTGGATCTCTCTGCCCTTCATCTCTCTGCCGGTAAACTCTGTGTCTGTGTGCTCTCCTCTCATTGCACCTGACGAAGGGGCTGTGTTCCAAAAGCTTGTAATTTCAAATAAACTTGTCGGACTATAACCTGATGTCATGTGATTTTAGAAAATGAAATGTGTAAAGGAATGTAATCTAAAGCTAAATATGAAGAGGTACAATTCCTGTCTAAATTGATCTCTGCTTCATCTGTTTTCTTGGTCTTTTATGTGTCAGCGAGTGGTAATATGGAAGGGATGTATAGTGAATAAAACAAATAGGAGCCTTGCTCTGCAGAAGTGATTCCATATTGAAGAGGCCAGATGGATATGCTAGCACTTCATTTTCTTTGTTTTTATTTGTTTGCAAGTTCATTGGTTGAGCTCAGCAAAATTAAGAACAAAAGTTTCAGAACTGAAGTCCTCAATGATCCACTCATGGATTTGCTCCAACACTATTGTGGGAGCTTTCCTGCTCCCTGCTTAGTGGGAACAGAGCCAGTGTTATGATCCCAGCTGGATGAGTCACAAAACAGACTTAAATCTGGCTTAATAGATCAAATTTGTTTTTTTTTGTTTATTTTACAAAACAGTCTTTCACTGAAACACAAACATGCAATTCTGCAGATTTAGTTTTAATAATAGAACAGAAGTTTGTTATGCAAAATATGACAAAATAAAATAAACAAAATTATTTACAAATGACACAATTTGAAAGATTTCAAAACATACAGCAAAATACAATATTCTACCTATCCCAACTGCTCCCAATGGTACTTAATCACCAGAGAGAATTCATTTCTCTATTGCAACTATAGAGTTTAACTTAACTGTTTCTTTTAATTCCAAGTCTTGATAATGTGCTATCCTCTTCCTTTAGTATTCACACAACCGAGTTTAGACTTTCTCAACTTTCAATAACCTTTTCAGGGTTCTAACCAAGCACCTCTGATCTGGAACTTTTCAATTAAACTCCTTACATTGAAGTAACCTATTTCTAATAATTCCAAACTGTTTCTTCAGGAGAAACTATTTTACACATATAACTTCTTTAGCTGTTTCTCCTAAGCAAAAAAAAAGGATCCTTCCAACTGAAAGTAATCTAATGTTGTTCAAAGCTCTCCAAGTGCTAACAAATTCCCAATAACACTCCAGGAGTTATTTTTCTCATATTGTTTTCTTTTAAACAATGACTCCAGAAAGGCTGATGAGTTAATTATTGAATTCTTTCATCCACACACACCAAAACCCACATGCTACTAGTTCACAATCCAAACTTTCAAATAAATGATATTTATTTTTTTAAAATCACACACCATAAATCATGCCAGCAAGCAGTTAAAATAGAGCTCCATTTCCCACTCCATTTGTGCCTTGGTTCCAATTTAAATGTTGTTAGTTTTAATGAAAGTTAGTGTAAACTCTACTGGACTCACTCAGAGTTGTGGATGAATAACAGTCAGGATTCTATGATATCAATAGGGGATAAATAGCATTTTAACTTGGGTGTGAGTGCAGAAAGCATTGTTGCCACCCTTTGGGTTGAAGCAAGAATTCATCTGGTGGGATTTGCTAAAAGGTCCTCCAGGTAGGTGAAAGCCAAGGCTCCAAGAGGCTAGGGATGGACAAACATAACTTCCAGGCCCCATAAAGAAAGTTGCAGTGCTCCTGGTCTTTTCCCACCTTCGTTTATTGTGAGATCCAACCCTCACCCTGCCTCCATCTGGAGAGCTGGCAGGTGGTCAAGGGCCACCCAGTTTTTCCCAGCTATTATCACTTTGCACCATCTTCCCACCCATTTCAAGATGTATTTAAATGTGCCAGAAAGTTAAAATGCTCCTGGACTGAAATTTCCACTTTTCAACTAATTTTAAACTTGCCTTTCTCTTTGTTCATCTGAAATCTGCTTCAATTTAAATTTCCCCCAAAGATTTATAAATCATTTTTTATTCACTCTTTATTATATCCTACCATTTGGTGCAGGAAATCTTAATGAAATTTCACTCTGGGGCATTGTAGTCCATTGCAATTCCACAAAACAAAATGTTGTGTTAAATGTTGTTAAACAATTAAGTTCCAAAGCTGCAGGGAAATAAATGAATAGCTCTCCAATCCATACAGCTATCTCTCCTTCCTTTGTGATCAAAGGGAACTGAATACTTAAGTGCATAGAATGATAAATAACTGATTAGATTAACATTTCTAACAATAAACTACTGAAGTTACCTGGTCGTTAATATTGACCTTCAGATTGCATTGTGTGAATAGCTGGGAAATAGCAGCATCTGTTGTTTACTGTAGAATCACTCGCGAGACAGTATGAAGGAAACCATGGCCGAAATGCAGCAGCAAAAACTCAAGTATGAGCTCGTTGCTAAGGAATCACTCCAGAAAGCAATCAAAGAGAAAACAGCTGCTGAACAAACACTGGCCAATGTCCAGGTAAGAGACAGAAAGTTAAAAACTGGAGGTGACCAAGAACTCAGTTCCAGCTGCTAAGGCTGTGGAAATGACTGAAGTCAGAACTAAGAATGAACAGATTGAAGCAAATCACAATCCAAGGAGACAAATTGATTTTTAAGAGTGAGAAGCACCAAAAACTTACATTTCTAAAACAGCTTCAAACAAGCTAAGATTGGAATTTTGATTTGAACTAGTTTATTTTTCAAATGATATCCTGTTAATGTATGGTAAATAAGTTAGTTCATGTGCATGTTTAGTTCAATGACTTTTTTGTTCTTTAATTTCAATTTTTTAATTAAAGTAACATTCTTATTAAAAACATGAAAATTTACATTTATACAAATCAATGTGTTTGGTTACACTTTCTACATCTTCAATTCAGCAAAGTGCCGGAAGCGAGAAATAAGGTCAACCTTCAGTGAAGAGAGGCAGAATTTAACCATATCTAGCAAATCATACCTTTTCCAAAATAATTGATTTGTGAAGATGTATGAATATTGCTTTCTTGTTTTCAGAGATCACTGAGTGTAGCAGAGATGGAGTGCTCTCATTGGAAGGAGTCCTACAATAAAGCACTGGCAGATTGCGCTGAACTGACGACCAGGCACTCAGAAACCACAGACCAATTGCACATAGTGCAGACTAAACTGCAGGTAATTTAGCGTCATCGTGCATAATAACTCATTAATTTTAAAAGTAAATTGATTAAGTAAGCTGAAAGTGTTAGCTTACATTTTCCAACAGATCAAAAATTAAAAGTTATACCACTAGTATTCCAATACAATTGGTTCGGATCTAACACGATAGTTACGTTCTTTTGCGATCTTGCGTTGTAAGAAAATCGCATTAAACTAATGAAGCCAGAATCGCGTTGTAGCCAATACATTCTGCGTATGGTGGTCTAACTTCTTCAATCGCGTTAAAGCCAATTCGCATTGAAGAAACAAGCATTATTGCAGAACTGACTGTAATTGACAAAGTGGCTGCTTTCTACAACCTGTTGCCACATATCCACGGCAGGTTTGTCTCTCAGGAGACATTGATACTCATTGGTAGTAACTTCCAGCAAAAGTATATGATTCATAGTGAGGTAGAGGGAGGCTAGTGTTAACACAATTACTCCTTTACTGGCAAAACTGCCTCACTGTCGAATCAGTACAGTGCTAATCTTTGAAGCACACTAGATCTAATAATGAGTTGATAAGAAAATCTCAGCTTGCAGTATAATTCCCCTTGCTCTCACCAGATACTGAGAGGTCTGTGACTCATATGATTAGGGGTGGCATGATGGCTCATGGTTAACACTGCTGCCTCACAGCACCAGCAACATGGGTTCAATTCCAGCTTTGGGTAACTGTGTGGAGTTTGCATGTTCTCCTTGTGTCTGAGTGGGTTTCCTCCAGGTACTCCAGTTTCCTCCCACAGTCTAATGTGCAGGTTAGGTGGATTGGCCATGTTAAATTCCCCATAGTGGCTGGAGATGTGCAGGTGAGGTGGATTAGCCATATGAAAGGAATGGTGAGGGCAGGGGGGCAGGGTAATGTGAAATGTTCTTTGAAGAGTCAGTGTTGGGCTGAATGGCCTGTTTCCACACTGTAGCAATTCTATTTTAAAAAAAGCAGACATTCAGTTCTAGCCATTCACTAAAACTCCTCAGGATCTGCATGAACTCTGCTACTGCAGACTGACTAACGATGGTTGGTGCCTCATTAAATAAAAGAAATATATTAATTATCATCTTGTTTCAGGTTTGAATGTAACACATGCTCCCAAATCTGGGAATATTTTCACTGCTTTTGTTCATGAATGTGCAATAATTTAACTTGGTATTTTCCTTGCTGAATAGTTCAGTATTATACTAGCAAGCTAAGTGAACAATGGAGTGGAAAATCAAATTTATGCTAAAGTCTTGTTTCATTACCAGTTCCTCTTCTCAACTGAAGGAACAGAGAATTGAACAAGCAAAGTCATTGATGTCCCTGAAGACATTGTCAATATCTGTAGGCTGGTTTCAGAAGGAATTACTTAAAAATTGGCATGTCGCAGAAAAGTATCCCAAATGTTAGCTGGCTAAGGAGTAATTTATATCATTGTTTAAATACAGACAGTGTTAGTAATCCATACTTTGGTTACTTATGAGGTAGTATTTCATGAACCGAGAGCTTACAGAGTAAGTATCTAATCTATTATTTGGTTTTAAAGTCAGTATTTCATAGTTGATCAAGGGGAGTATCCAGCGTACTGACTAAATACAGTTTTTTAAAATATTCGTTCTTGGGATCTGGGTGTGACTGGCTGGTCAGCATTTATTGCCCATTCCTAGTTACCCTTGATAAGGTCTTGCTGAACTGTGTTCGTGAACCACTGCAGTTCATTTGCTGTAGGTACAGCAATGCCATTAGGGAGGGAATTCCAGGATTTGATTCAATCACAGAAGGAACAGCGTTACATTTTCAAAGCAGTGACTGGCCAAGAGGGAATTTGAAGGTGGTAGTTTTCCCATACATCTGCTGCTGTTGTCCTTCCAGATGGTAGTGGCATGCATCTGCAAGATGCTATCTAAGGAACTTCTGGTGAGTTCCTGCAGTGTAACCTGCAGATGGCACACAATACTACTGCTGAGCATCAGGGGTGGAGGGAGTGAATGTTTGTGGATGTGGTGCCAATTAGGCAGGCTGCTTTATCCTGGACAATGTCAAGCTTCTTGAGTGTTAATAGAACTGCAGTCATCCAGGCACGTGGGAATATCATTCTCCTGACTTGTAAATGATGGATAGGCTTTAAGGGGGTTAGGAGGCGAATTACTCACTGCAGCATTCCTAGTCTCTGACCTGCTTTTGTAACCATGTATTTATATCGCTGGTCCAATTCAATTTCTGTTCAATGGTCACAACCAGGATGTTGATAATGTGTCCCAAATATTGGACAGTTGTAGACAATGTAATATGTACAATGGTTTGTTGAGGGTTTTATTGGGTTTTAGAACAGATTAGCTCTTATTATCTTGTGTTAAAATGCAAAAAGCTGCCATAGCAAAAGAAGAGTAACTGCAAATTGAAGTCACTGAAGGACATACTTAATACTTTATTCACAAATTATCTCATAAGAAAAAAATGTTGCCCTACCTTTCCTCATGGTATGGCTTATTGCTCTTCTTCTTCTGTTACTCTTGTGTTTTTTCTGTCTGTCTTTTCATCCTCTTTTTCTTTCAGAGAGCAGAAAAAGACAGCGTGTTGCTCAGAAATTTACAAACAAAATTCCAAGATATAGAAAATGAGACACAGAAACTCCTGGATAAAATTGATGCATTAAGAGAAGAAAATGAACTCCAGCAAGAACAGCTTCTAAGAAGCAAAGGTATTGTTTTTATCTGGGCAAGGAGGGAAGGGAAATGGTGTCTGTTTAACAGTATATCATTTTATGTGGTTTACTATCAAATAGTCAGCATTAATGCAACAGGGTGTTTATAACTGATAAGGTAGCCTATAATCAAATTGAAATCATTGACTTTAATAGGTACATTTGTTCTATAACGTTGAAAATATTTGTGAGAAAGTAATGATAATCTCGTTAGTCTGATTCATTGTGATATATTAACTTATTTAACTAACATAATTTAAGGTCCTTGAATTTAGAGCAAATAAATGATTCTTTATCTAGTTTCAGGATACTAGAATATCTAAGGACTGTCTCTATCAAAGTCCATCCTTGGAGGAAAGAAAGAATTTGAATATTGGTAGTAAAATTAATTGACCACCTAAGAGCCACAATTGGCAGTGGGGTAAGAAGACAAAGCTCAATTCAGACAAGGGCAAGAAAGTGGTGGGTCCACCAACAACCCACCTAATTAGTTCACTTCCCGCTTCCAGGCAGACTACCACTGTGTCTGGAAAATTGTGCCCATAGGTCTACATAGCAAGCCAACAGATTCTAACCACTAACGTAGGCATTACTGATTGAATAGAAGACTCAGAGACATGCTTCAGTCTCAGGCTAAAGGTTAATGCAGCTCAGACCTTTGTCATTCAAAATAACTTTTAAGAAAATTTAGAAATTAAAAATAAATCTGCACAATGAACTTCCTGAATTTGATGCATTAAAAAAAAATCATTGTTAATTTCAGTCTAATTGTGGTCTGCTGGAAGATGCAAGTGGCTGGCTGAGGGTTGATGCAAAACTGAAACCAAACAGTTCCTTTTTTTTTTGTTAGAGATAGCTAGAACTGCAGATATGCTAGAGCCAGAGATAACAAAGTGTCGAGCTGGAGGAACGCATCATGCTAGGCCGCATCAGAGGAGCAGGAAAGTTGACGTTTCAGGTTGGGACCCTTCTTCAGGTCATCCAGCCCTCTGAGAGCAGCAATTCAAGATATTAGTGGTGTAGATGCTGATGTGGAAATCAGAGAACGTTCCCTGTAGTCAGAAACTCCTGTGGGCACATCCCAACACTTGTGCTGAAATGTAATCCACATGGTTTTGCAGGGCTGATGTTTTGTGCCAGTGTGAAATTTTTGTGAAATTGATCTTTCTCAGGAACTTTCTCCAAGAAGCTATTCTTATCTGGATGGAGAAATGGGTTTGTGCTGACTCATGGGAACAAAGAGAATTAGAGCAGGAGTAGGCCTGTTGGTCACTCAAGCCTACTCCGTCGTTCAATATGATTATGACTAATTATCCTACTCGGTACCCGGTTCCCACTTTTGCCCCATATCCTTAGACTCCTTTAGCCCTAAGAAATACCTTTCTTCTTCTCAATTACAGCCTGGCTTTTCTCTGCCAGTGGTTAGCAGGTGAGCTGCAATGAATTCTGTGATTTATGACTTGCTTCCTAAATTGAGTACATAGTAGGCACAGGCGGAGGTGAAAACCTAATGGCAAAAAAATCTACAACAGTGAGAAAGTAGCACTTAAAATGACGCAGACCCTTCCCCACACGTCTCGTTGATGTCAGAGAGTTAAAGGTTCTGCTGCAGCATTCGTGTCAAAGGCCAGAACTGGGGCTGAATATTGCTCTAGTAAAAATACAGATACCAATTGCATGTTGTATGGATGTCAACAAAGTTCATATCATCGACCAGTTGCAAACAAGGAAGTGCTGCTATCTGGAAAAAAGCAAAAATGAGCATTTGAGAGAACTGTGTATAGGTTAAATCTGTGGCCACAGCATCATTCAAGGATGATCTCCTGAAACTCAAGGTTAAATCATATTGTCAGATGGTACGGTCATGCAATGTATTTCCTCTGGTTTTATGTTATCTAACTGTGATCACCCCTACAAGGCCAATGGGGAATCACTCATGAATCTACCTGTGCAGCTCATTGAACATGAGTTCTGTTGGTAACAGGCAATGGCCTACCCAGCAGGAACTCATCACTGGACCCTGGACCCCTTTATAAAGCAGACTCAAGGATGGGTCTGCAAAACTGTCTGTCCTGGGCAGAAACTAGCCTTTGTATGCCATGAGTAGAAGCTCTATTTTGGTGTTAAACAATAAATGATGTTCCTTTCCAGTCAGACTTTGAGTTATTGCGTTGGTGACGAGGGTGAAGAAAAGTTTCAGACAGTCTGGTCTTTCAATGAACCCAGTAAGAAAGAATGAGATACTTTCTTTCAGGCAAACTGGATACAAGAGGATCACAGACATAATCCTCCTGACCACTTGTGGGGCCCCAACTTTCAACATCATAATGAATTTAACTTACCTGGCAGCCCTGGAGTCAGAATCTTTTGGTGAACTGATAGACATGGTACTAGACTACTGTGAGCCTGAATCATGTGTTATATTGTAGCGGCACAGGTTTAGCACTGTAAATAGATTTCCTGGGGAACCATTTATTGAATTCTTGATGGAACAGCATAAATTAGCAGAACACTGTGAGCATGGGTTGGCACTTTGGGAAACATCACAGGATCCCTTAGTTTGCGGAATTAATAATATTGCAACCGAAAGGAAGTGACTGACTGAACCAGAACTGAACCTCAAGAAAGCCATAGAACTAGCCCTTTCCCATGAAAATGTGAAAAAGGGGCTTAGAAGCTTCAGGGTTCTGTAGATGGTCCCATCCTCCACCTTGGGTTACCTCCATACTGCAGAGCAAATCCCCAGCGAACAACATTCTTGGTTCCCGTTGGTTGCCAAGTGTGGGTGATTGGAGTCGGAGGCCACAAAATTCCAGAACTGGATGGGAAGTTTCTGCACAATACAGAAAGTGGGAAGAATGTCCATTTGCTGCATGTGTGGCCATAGAGTTTGCCCCAGACAAGGCTATAAAAACAAGTGAAACATGTACCCGCCCAAGCCAAAGGGTGAAGCCACCTCACAACAGGACTTTGCAAATAAATCAGTCCCAGGATGCGGAAGTGGTACCAATTCACATAAAACTTCAGGTAAATGGCCACCCCTAGATATGAAGGTAGACGTAGGTACTGCCATGTATATTGTTGGGGAGCAAACCTTTAGGAAACTCCAATGGATCATCTTTCCTTTAAGTCTGTGACACATCAAGGCTAGATTTTCTCCATGCACTAGGGAGGCCTTGTTTATTTGCGGGACCACTGTAATTCCAATTATCCATGGACAACAGATAATCCGATTTCCCCTTAATGGTCGTGCAAAGGTCAGATCCCAACCTTTTGAGAAGGGACTGGCTACAGAAGATCTGCCTGGATTTAAAATAGATACTGATGATCTATATGAAATTTTTGGCAAGTATTCTGAAGTGTTCCAAGAGGGTGCCAGGAAACTAAAAGGTGCCAAAAGATTTATGTATACCCAGAAGCAGCTAAATACTTCAAAGCATAGGGGAGGCAATGGCCTAGTGGTATTATTGCTGGACTGTTAATCCAGAGACCCAGATAACGTTCTGGGGACCTGGGTTTGAATCCCGCCATGGCAGATGGTGGAATTGAAATTCAATAAAATATCTGGAATTAACAATCTATTGATGACCATGAATCCATTGTCGCTTGTCGAAAAACCCACCTGGTTCACCAATGTCCTTTAGGGAAGGAAGCTGCCTTCCTTACCTGGTCTGGCCTACATTTGACTCCAGACCCACAGCAATGTGGTTGACTCTGAACTGCCCTCTGGGCAATAAGGAATGGGCAATAAATGCTGCATAGCCAGTGATGCCCTCTTCCCATGAATGAATAATAAAAAAAACCAATGCTTAACGAGCCAGAGACTGAATTGGAACATCATGCTCACAATTTACTGAATAGGCCACACCAGTAGTCTCAGTTGTAAAACCTGACAACTTGGTCCATCTTTGTGGGGATTATGAGTTGACAGTCAACAGAGTTTCCCACTTAGACTGAGAGCCTATGCCACACATAAAAGACATGTATGAAAAGCTGGCTGAGGATTTACCTATCTACTAAATTGAATATAAGCCATGTCCACCTCCATCTGGAGCTGGAGGTGTCTTCCAGGAAGTATATCACTATAAATAATCACAGAGGACTGTATGAGAACACTCGTTTGCCATTTTGGGGTATCTTTGACTTGTGCCATCTTTCAAAGGGTGATGGAGAATATCCTCCAAGGGGTGCCTGGAGTGGCAGTCTGTCTGGGTGACGTTTTAATCTCAGGAGCTACTGCAAAGAAACCTGTAGAGAGTTTGGAGGAGGTTTTGCTGCATTTTTCTGAGGCTGGCATCCAGCTAAAAAGGGAATAGTGAGTGTTCCAAGTAAATGAGGTAATGTACCTCGGGTACAGAGTCAACAAGGACAGATTATACCCTGTTGAGGAGAAGGTGAAGACCATAAAAGGGGGCTTTGATTCAAAGGAACATAATGGAGTTGAAGTTTTTTCTAGATCTCAAAAATTAATAGGGGGAAGATATGGTCCACATAAGGAACTTCAGTGACCGCTTTCCAAGGATCACGAGAGTTATCCTTAAAAATACAAGACCATATCATACATGGTCAAAACTGGGGAGAAGATCACAAAAAAAAGCACATCAACACCTCCAGTAGGAACTCTCCACAGAGACAATTGTTTTGACCGACATGTCACTGAGGATGGACTCTTCAATGATGGTCACGGAAGAGACATTCGCCTACTTCTTATACACGCCTCAACCAGACCTGGGAAGCAATAGGAATGGGGCCATGGGCAAAATGTCACAGGAGGCCCCATCATCACAGGAGTGAAGGGGAATCCTTGAACTCGGAAGGAGGTGATAAACCCTTCAAGCCGCATGGGAAATCATTAATCTCTCAGTGGAACTCATTGAATATGAGTTCCTTTGGTAACAGACAGTGTCCTGCCCATGTGAAACTCATTATCTGAGCCCTTTATAAAGCAGACCTATTGATGGGTCAGCAGTACTGTCTATCCCAGGCTGTAGCCTATTGATGCCATGAGTAGAGGCTCTATTTTGGTGTTCAATGATAAATGATGTTTCTTTCTAGTTGGGATTTCTGAGTTATTACACTGACTTTGGAAAGTTTTGAAACTTTTCCCACATGCAGCTATCATGTAAGCTGGGGAGTAAGTATAGTTTGCTTTCTTTTCCAGCAAAATTACAGAAAACCGAAGAGCAGGAACAGATAATGGCATCTACAATCACTAGCCTACAGGGTAAGTGCCTGACTTATTTTAAATTCATTTTTCATGATATGTAAATGCTGGCGGCAAGACCAGCATTCATTGCATAATTTTCTCTGACAAGATGCAAGCATGGCAGAGCAGGCTTGAAGGGCCGGATGGCCTACTGTTGATCCTTGTTCAAATATTCACTGCAGTCAGTCTGGTGTTGGGGCACCCATGTGCTACTTGGAAGCGTGTTCCAGGATTTGACACAGCCACAGTGAAGAAATGACAATGTACGTGCAGGTCAAGAGAGTGAGTGAGTTGGAGAGGAACTTTAAGTGGTGTTAGTGTTCCCCTGCATTTGCTGCACTTGTCCTTCTATTTGGTAGAGGTTTCAAGTTTGAAAGCCAAGTGAGTTATTGCAGCATTGATTTCATTATAGATTTATATTACAAAGGAAAAACGAACCTACATCACATGAATTGAAACCATGTAAATGCTGCTAGCAAGACCAGCATTCATTGCATAGTTTTAATTTCCTCTGGCAAGATGGAACCATGGCAGAGCAGGCTTGAAGGGCCAAATGGCCTACCCTTGATCCTTGTTCAAATATTCACTGCAGACCACTTTATGCAGTAATGTTCATCTGCAAAGACAATATTGTTTCCTGTTTTGTTTGTATGACATGATTGATCCAATGAATTAGTTGGATGTGAATGAGATTTAGCCTGTTTTGTTATGCTTTGCATTATTTGTATCCCAGCTAAATTGTTTCATTAGATCACTGAACAATTAATGAAATGGCCAGCACAGCTCAACTCTTTGAGAACAATTCCAAGGTTGATTGTTATTGAATGAATTTATTATCAGCTGGGATTGTGGTCTATGAAAAATAATAATTATCACCATATCAGGGTCTTTTCCTCTGTGTGTAAATTAAAGAGAGTTTCTTTTGTACTACATTGCCATTATGAACGAAAATAATGTTTTCAATGTCATGCTCACCTCAGATGAAATTTCCCCCAAAAAGTTTCAACAAACACAATTTAAAATCAAGAAATTCATCAGGAAATTACCAAAATTCAGCAGCTAGAAGCCTAAGGTTTAAATCCTGCCTTTAATTATCCAGATAACGACTGAGGTACATAGGATCTTTCTCTGGGCTTCCACAATGTAAGGTCCAGTAGATTTAAACTCCCAGGCTTTAGCTTCATGGGCTTTGACAGATTCTTACCTTAACCCGGTAGGAAGTGGAGGTGATGTGAAAGTTTGGCAGCAGGAAGATTTTGCCATGGACCCAAAAGAAAGATCTTGTCTATTGTAAAATTGGTAGGAGGGGGAGGGAGGGTGGTTATAGTACAGTTCCCAACTCACTGGGGATTAATAGGAGCTTTCCAGAACTGGAGTTCCTGCCACAGTAATGCCTCCAGAAGACTTGGGGAGCAGCAATCTAAATTTCCTGCCACAGTGTGCACCTCAGCCCAAGCTTTGTCACATCATCAGCTATTGGAGAAACCTCCAGCTCCATGACATCTCTTAGCTCTGGTTTTGAATAGGCATGAAATTCAACTGAAGTGAGACAATAACTGTGCACCTGAAAATAATTCTATTCAATACTTTTCAAATTGCAGAGATGTTGCAGAAGAAAACCATCCAGGCAACAGAGCAGGAGAAAGCGATGCAACAGAATGGTTAGTGAAGAGATCACAGTCACTCCAGATTAATTCAGCATTTGATTATCAATGTCAAACTTGGGTTTGATTTATTCTAGACTTACTTAGTGCCAGGAGTGAACACCAGCATCAGGCACTTCAACTGCAGGTCAACAAACTGAGCAATCAATTGGAAAAGCAGTCAACTCTACTTCATGCCAAAGAGGAAGAGGTGAGAAAATAATTATCTGCTCAAGCAACCTTACGTTGAACATTATATATAACATATTATGTGCACAGCCTCATATGTGCAAAAATAGAAACCAAAACCTATGAAAAGTTTAATGTTGTTTTATGACAATTCTTTGAGAGTGTTTGTTTTTAAAAGGCTTTGATGCTGAGGTTCCCTATTAGAATCAAAGGTTAATATTGGAATACTTGACTGAAATATTTTAGTTTATTTATACTTACAGCTGCCTTACAAGTTGCCTTTTCTGAAATACTAATAGCACAGTTAGATTGCATTAGGCATTGTGGTTTTAGATTAACATTCATGAATATTAAATACCTGTCTAATACTGAAATAGAAGTCATATTTCACACCATAAGGTTCAGTCACGAGAAGTTAGGTTGACTGATTAAGAAATAATTGGGTTAAACTTTCCCACCAACTTTGGATTTAGGCTTTGAGGTGGGAGTGTTGCAAGTATGATAGGGAAGGAGTTAGGAGAAAAGCCTGATATCTAACCATCACAGAGGCATACTGTGAGTAGTAGGAACATTGGTCCACTCATCTCCCAGTCAACTGAGTCACTCAATGAACTGAATAGCGGCCTGGAACTCCCTCCTTAACAGCACTATGTGTGTATCTACAGCAAATGGAATGCAACAACTCATAAAGGCTGCTCACCACCAGTTAGAAATGGATAATCATGCTGACCCAGCCAGGGAAGTCCATGTCACTGAATGGATAATTTATACAATTCAGCCCTTGCAGTTATTTTGCTACCATATGGGAGGACACTTGGAAAACCTTGGCAGCTTCCCAATGGTTTCCAAGAGAGGGCCTCCATAAAGGACACTACATGACTCTCAAAGGGCTGCTGGTGACAACGGTTGCCCTGGCAGCAATAGTACTACCACCACCTGTGCCCACCCCCACCTGCCACGCCCTTCTGCCTGCCTGGCCTCCTCCTCAAAATTTAGCAGCACTTCCAGGTTGCTGTCAATCTGAAGGTGTAAGCATCGGTCACTGTTAGCAGTAACACTGCAAGACTGCTGAGCTGCCACCCCTCAGATTGGGCCTGCAGTTCTGGGGGATGTGTGCTGTGTCCTTGATGGACAGCAATTTGTAATTGCCTGCTGCTGCCCCAGAGTTCTGCCACCTGCTGAATAAGGGCTGCCTCCCTGATTTCATCCCTGGATTAATGGAAGAAATGAATGAGAAATTTCACATCACGTCAAATATCAGTGTAAATTTCCTCTCAGAAACTGAAATGCACATCCCATGGTTGTTGGTTTAATGTTCCTCTATGATGGCATGAAATGATATGATCAGTTAAATACAGAGATTTCAGTTCAATTTCATTAGTTGTTAGTGGAGAAATCAAGAGAATTCTAGAATAAATAAATAAATCATGTTTGTATACAGGCATCGTTTTGCTCCTTCTCAGTTTGCATTCTACCGAAAACTAAGTGAGGAAAAAGGCATTTTCAGTTTTCAGCTGAGGAGGGTCCATCCTGACTGTTAGTGGTCTGATGATTCCATAGTCATTACAGTCACATCACACAAGATGTACAATGCATAAACAGTGCATGCAATCCCTGTATGTAGATTAAAATAGTACAAAGTATTAACCATGCTCATTTTTGGAGGTGGAACTTTCTATTTATTTATGGAGATTTCCTTCACATTGAGGACTAATGGTAAGGATTGTTGCCTCTTGATTCTGTTTCTGAGCCATATTATTTTCCGTGTTTGTGTAATCCATTCTTTCTCATCAATCCTGTAGTGCATTGAACTCCATTCAAAGCTTACGATTATGCAAAATGAGCATAGTGCCTTTTTAAAAAACATGCAGCATCATCAGAACAAGTCAAAGAGTTTTCAGAAGAAACCTACCCAGGTGAGGTTCTGAAATCCTCTGCAGTCACAATGCAAGGTGAGAAATGGCCACTAATACCAGAGATTAACAGTTAGCAGGGAATGCAAGGTGAGAAATGGCCACTAATACCAGAGATTAACAGTTAGCAGGGAATGCAAGGTGAGAAATGGCCACTAATACCAGAGATTAACAGTTAGCAGGGAATAACTCACCAGGTTTTGATTTAAGACATGCAATCAAATATAGGTGCCTCCTTTTCATGAATTCAATAAACTTGGTTTCAGCTAATGTATTTAACCTTTTTTCAATTATCATCAATAACCTTTTATTCCCATATTAACCCATCAAAATTTTGTATATGTTTGGTGCTTCTGCTTTGAATTAATTTGGTAACATAACTTAAAAAGACAAAGAACCAAAGACATTAAATGGAATATATTGCATGGAAACAGGCCATTCAGCCCAATTAGTCTGTGCTGGTGTCTTTGTTCTACACAAGCCTCCTCCCATTCCAACTACCACATCACAATTATTTCAGCTATCTCAGAGATAGTAGGAACTGGCGATGCTGGAGTCTGAGATAACAAGGTGTGGAGCTGGATGAACACAGCAGGCCAGGCAGCATCAGAGGAGCAGGAAAGCTGATGTTTCGCGTCTGGACCCTTCTTCAGAAATCTTCAGCTATCTACTCTGTTTCTTTGTGGCTCATATACCCATAAAGTTTACATCATAAAAGAAGCCCCTGGGTTTATTGGGCAGGCAGCAGCTCTTTGCTAGAACATTCTAAAACTAATGGTGCTGGCACCTATCTTTCTAGACCCTCCTATGTCATCTTTATTTTTAAAAAAGGGATTGTTATTAGATATACTAACAGAAAGTTAGTAATGACAATAAAGGGCAAGCAAGTTAGTTTGTAGAAACCAAACATTTGCAGTCTCTTTGGACAAATTTTGGGACATGTTTGAGGAAACAAGCAGGTGACAGAAATGTTTGTGCAAATAGAACCAACAGATAATATTAGTGTGAAACTGTTCTTAATCGTAGCCTATTTAATGCAGTATGCACCAACAAGGCGAGAGAAAAGCTAAAGTTGCTTTTACATTATAAATTAAACCAAGAGATGTTGCAATAGTTTTGATATTAATGACATGATTATAATAATTTTTATTTCTGTCTCCAAAACAGGAAAAAATTTAGTCACTCGAAATGGAAAACTATTACATTTCATCATTGGAATAAATTCTACATAATTAAAATAAATCAATATTTACATTATTTTAGAAATCTGTTTGAATCTTTCTTGAAATAAACAAATAAGCATGAATTATTATAGATAGGATTAACATCTCTGGTATTTGGAGTGCCATACTTACTGGTATATTTTTGCATAAACTACACAATATGACAACATGTAAGCAGTTGTCAGGCAGTGTTGGCTTGAACAACTTAAGTGTGAATGGATTATTGGAACCATTTCACAAGGTAGAGATATTAAATAATAGAAAAAAGTTGATGATAGCACGTCAGCAGCTCATTTTACAATTCTAACAATCCACTCTGGTACCTCTTTTTGCTAGTCAGGATCAGTGCTGAATCCATCACTTTTTGTCATTTATATAAATGATTTGGATGGGCTCATAGGAGGTATGGTTAGTGAGTTGGCAGATGACACCAAAATTGTTGGCGTAGTGAACAGCCAAGAAAGTTACTTCAGCGTACAACAGGACATTGATGAGATAGGCTGGTGGGCCAAGGAGAGGCAGATGGAGTTTAACTAAGATAAATGTGAGGTTCTGCATTTTGGAAAGGCAAATCAGGACAGGACTTAGACACTTAATGGTAAGGTCCTGGGAAGTGTTGCTGAACAAAGAGACCTTGAAGTGCAGGTTCATAGTTCCTTAAAAGTGGAGTCGCAGGTAGACAGGGTAGTGAAGAAGGTGTTTGGTATGCTTGCCTGTATTGGTCAGTGCTTTAAGTACAGGGGTTGGGAGGTCATGTTGCAGCTGTATAGGACATTGGTTAGGCCACTTTTGGAATACTGCATTCAATTCTGGTCTCCCTGCTATAGGAAGGATGTTGTGAAACTAGAAAGGGTTCAGAAAAGACTTACAAGGATGTTGCCAGGGTTGGAACATTTGAGCTATAGGGAGAGGCTGAATAGGCTGGGGCTAATTTCCCTAGAGCATCAGAGGCTGAGGAGTGACCTTGTAAAATTTATAAAAACATGAAGGGAATAGATAGGGTGAATAGCCAAGGTCTTTTCCTCATGCTAGCGGAGTCCAAAACTAGAGGGCATAGGTTTAAGGTGAGAGGGGCAAGATTTAAAAGGGATCTAAGGGGCAACTTTTTCATGCAGAGGGTGGTGCATGTATGGAAAGAGCTGCCAGAGGAAGTGGTGGAGGCTGGTACAGTTACACTATTTAAAAGGCATCTGGATGGGTATATGATTTGGAAGAGTTTAGAGGGATATGGGCTAAATGCTGACAAATTGGACTAAATAAATTTGGGATATCTGGTCAGCATGGCCAAGTTGGACTGAAAGGTCTATTTCCATGCTGTATTGATCCATCTTTGACTCTAGTCCATTGGTTGCTACCAGGCATCTTTGATTGTGTAAGTAAATTAACAAAATTATTAATATTTGTAATTTAATGGCAAAAATTTGTTTACAGTGGACTTGATTGGGTGAAAGATAGATTACAAATAGTGGACTTTCCAATAATTCATTGCAACAATAAGAAGAATAAATTGCACAAATATAGTGCCATTTAACATCAAACTTCCTACGAGCTTCAGAATTATCAGTTAGTAGAATTTTATAAAATAATGAGAAGTATAGAAAGAGTTAGTGGTAGTTGACTTTTCCCTAAGATGGGGAATTTCAAGAGTAGGGGGTACATTTTTAAGGTGAGAGGAGGGAGATTTAAAAAAAGACATGAGAGGCAAATTTTTTACAGGGGATGGTTCGTGTGTGGTATGAATTTCCTGATGAAGTAGTGGATGTGGGTATAATTACAGCATTTAAAAGACATTTTGATGAATATATGAATAATAAAGGTTTGGAGGGATATGGGCCAGTAGAAGGCAGGTGGGACTAGTTTAGTTTGGGATTATGTTCAGCATGGACTGGTTGGACCAAAGGGTCTTTTTCCATGCTGTATGATTCTACGACTCTATAACTAGCACTTACACGGCCCAGAAATAGCATGAGATGAAATGCATACATAGTCAGTGTGTTAATGAGAAAGTTTCCATTGTTTGTTAAGCAAAAGATAATTTTAATTAATTTAGGGTAGTGAGAAGGGGAGACAAGGGGTCTTCATTTTGGCATGTTTCAGCTCACTCAGAGGAAAACAGCTCATTATTATATGGAAAAGAAAGAATAATATTCATGAACAAAAATTATAATGGTGTTAAGAAAGAGAAAAATAAGAAATGGTGTTTATGACCTACAACACATGAGGGGAAACAAAAACCCCAAGAACATATAATGTGCAGCAGGCTGGTGAAAGAGAGAAGCTGAGAAAGTGTAGTAGATAAGGGAGACTGGAAAAGCAACATAATATAATAGTGTTAGCTAACAACAAGCAAAAGGTGCTGCATTAAACATTATAATTTCATATCATTAGCTTACGGTATAACATGACCTTTATTGATGGACAGGAAGCAGTTGTAGGAAGCTGTAGATCTGACAGAAATAAAGGACCTAATTTTAAATGGGTTTTGCGTGCGTTAAGATTGAACGTTACTAAACCGTGAAAGATCAATGTTCTAAATGTTCCTACAATAAGCACTTTTACACTTCTTCCTTGATTCCTAATGTTATAGCGTGGATATAGAACAATATAATATGTTGCATGAAAATACTGTGATTTCATGATTTTATTCTGCTTTGTAATTCATAGAATCCTAGAATCCCTATAGTGGGGAAGCAGGCCATTCAGCCCATCGAATCCACATGAACCCTCTGAAGAGCATCCTACCCAGACCCACTGCCCCACCCCAACCACCACCCCGCAACCCCCCACACCCCACCCCACCCCAACGTATCCCTGTAACCCTGAACTTCCCATGGCTAATCCACCTGGACATTATGGGTAATTTAGCTTGGCCAATCAATCTTTGGGCCGTGGGAGGAAACCGGAGTACATGGAGGAAACCCATGCAAACGCGGGAAGAATGTGCAAAGTCCACACAGATGGTTGCCTGAGGATGGAAATTCATTAATCTCAATATAGAACATATCACTGTGGGACATGTCCTTCATGTTGAACAGTGATTCTATTATTCATCTAGAATTTAGAATACATAATGCAGCTAGGCATCACACAAGCCCCAACAGAATGTAACGCTGCACGTGTAGCACTTAAGCTGACAATTTATGTTGTATAATGTAACTTATATCTTTAAGGTGCACATAAAAAAAATCCAGAATTTAAGTCATTAAGATGGGAGAAAATGCATGAATGATCAATGTTCATCGTATGTATAGTTTTAGGAAATAGTAAACAAAAGCCAGCTAATTGTGTTCATGAAAAATATGAATAATTGCTTACACCTAAAGCTGCAACAACATTGTCAATGAACATTTCTAAATGGAATCAGGGTCCAGAGTTAGTATAGGCAGACATATCCAGGTATATTTTTGGGTCACTCTATCCAGTAATTTATTGCCTGAATGTTTTTGTCTCTTCTAGAGGAGGTGCTGTCGATGTGTGACCTTCCTCATACTGGCAGCAACAGCAGCAGGGTTGGCAGTGCTCTGGGCAAATTTCGACAATATTTCTTTTTAAGAAGTTGCATTGAAGCACATCTTATTACCAGCAGAAACTTGCTTAAGCATTTTGACCACCAAATATCTTCAAAGTAGTATTTTCATCATTTGCAAAGATTATCTACTGAACATGAAAGACATTATTACATTGGATCAATACATAAGCTCACAGAACACAGGCTTGCCGCTTGTCTTTGCCAAACTGACTGAGATCTGTAACTTATCATATGTGGAATTCTGACTGCTTGCCTATGTGACATACTTCAGCGATCAAGTGAAGCCCAAGTGTCATCACTGTTTTGGTTGGAGGAAGCAAAAATGAATAAGTGATTTTTAAATCTGATTTTTATTTACGCATTGTCTACTAATGGATTATACAGGAATATCAGCACAGGGAATGCAGCAGCCTTCCTGACTGACATTTGCCACCCCAATGCCAGTGATAAGGTTCTCATTGATTGAGAAAAAAAGAGGATAACTATTTTAGAGAGATGGCAGTACAGTGGTAATGTCACTAAGCTAGTAATCCAGAAGCTGAGGCTAATGTTTTGGGGATACAGGTGAAAATATCACCTTGGAACATGGTGGATTTAAATTAAATAAGAAATATATCTGGAATTGAAAGCTCATCTCAGTAATTGTGACAATGAGACTACCATCAGTTGCCTAAAAAACTCACCTAGTTCAATAATGTCCTTTAAGGAAAGAGATCTGGTCTGGCTTAGATAAGTCAGCAGACTCACAGCAATGTGGCTGACTTTTAACTGCCTTTTGAAATGGTCTAGCAAATCATCCAGTTCAAGAGCAATTATAGATTTGAACAAATATTGCCCTTGCCAGTGAGACCAAAGTTTCATTTAAAAAAATGAAGTAAAAGATTTACTTTATTGAAAGTGGAGAGAATTGTCCAACATGGTCAATGCCTACCTAAACTCCAAATCTGAGTCCTTGAGAAGAACCACAATTTATCTTCTGGTTAGAGTTTTAAAATAAGAACTTGACAAACAAGTTGAGAGCAACAAGTGGATATCTGTTAACGGAGTTTCATTAGTGAAAGAATTGAGATTTACACTGGAACTACCAAATAATTATTCAACTCAGGTCAAAACCTATCACTAAACAGTTAATCAGTATTGGGAGTTATTGAGAGATTTCATTCAGCATATGTTATTTAAAAAAATGGAGAATCACAATTTTGAAGCTTACTTACACAGGAGAATCAAATAATAAGTCAGCTGTGTTATTACTGATTTCCCAAAGGTTTTATTTTTTATAAAGTAATTCTGGTGATCAATAAAATGAATGTGTAAATTAACTGAAAAGAACTTCATTTATTTTTGTACATATCTACCGTTCATGAGCTCTAGTTCTCCCTCCAGTAAGAAAAAATGTTTACATTTAAAATACCAATTCAACATGCTTTTTCAAACTGCCATATCATCTTATTAAACCCAAGTACGATATAAAAATTTTCATGCTTTTTCAAACTGCCATATCGTCTTATTAAACCCAAGTACAATATAAAAATTTTAAGTGTTTAATACTTTATTTTGATGCTCATTTGAAAACATGTGGAAAATAATGCCACCATAATCAATGTCACAGCTTATTTATTTTATCTTGGACTTGATGTTCACCTATTGCCCATTTACAATATCAGAATCATATGTCTATTGTGGCTTTTTTAAAAAAAAGTTTATTTTTGCAGCATGTGGGCATGGCAGGCAAGGCCTGCATTTGTTACCTGTCCTCAACTGTCCTTGAGAAGGTTGTGATTAGCACCTTTCTTGAACTACTGCAATCCACATGGTGTATATACACCCTTAGGTTAATAAATTTCAGGAAGTTGATCCAGTAAAGTGAAGGAACAGCAACATACTTCCAAAGACAAATGCAATATTCACATAATAGCCTGGTCTAACAAATCAACTGATGAGCAATTCATACAGACTTTTAACCTGAAGTGTTCAGGTGCCACATGAAGTTCACAAGCTGCATGTCAAAAATACTTTATTCCCTTCAAAGGTAAGGAACCAGATTTCTCGTCTACCTGTGGTTCTTACTTTTGAGTGTTAAACTACTGTTTAGGCCAAGGCTGCATAAAAGAAACCATGGAAAACAAATTCCATATCAACAAAATACTGTTGAAGTCTTGTCTTGTTATTTCATTGTTAAGTCATAAAGGAATGAAAAAGTATTCACATGAGGATTGTTTACTGACATAAAAAATGACAACTGAAAATATTATTTTTCTTTGTACATTGTCAATAAAATTACATTTTAAGATGATACTAGTCTTGAGATGTTTAATCTTTCACAAGCATTTTAAGATGCATGCAAACATGTTAATATATTGGCTGCAGAATAGAACAGCATCTTTGGACATGTTGAAATGATGAAATCCATGCTCATTTCAAATTCTGCCAGATATCCAAAAATGACCATCTTGTTACAGGAATGGATGAGATGGAGTAAAATCAAAAGAGGGGCTTCATAGGGCCTTAATTATGCATACATTTTAGTTGCTGGCAAACACTGCATTTCCTTAAGCTGTGCTTAGACCCTTGGTGTCATTACATGCTGAAGTTCTACCAGTTCCCAATGTTGTAAAGGATGGTCCTGCCACGTTGCTGCTGACCATTCTAAGTAGTGTGAATGTACCCCATCACCTGTTTCTCATGGAAAAATCTGAACAGAAAAATGCCTTTGACCACAAGTCCATCGGGCAGTGATCAGCACATTGTTGAAGCTCTGCTCAAAATGGAAATGTTTGATCAAGTCAAATGCTTCCCTGAGCAGACTATTAAAGTAATTTGCCAAGATTCCTCTTTGCCAGAACTTTCTGACAAGCACCAGGATGTAGTTTGCTGGTTGTGAGAATGGCACTCCCTGTCAGGTCACTCATGCATGCCTAGACATTCAGCGCTCCCATACACTACCCTCAAGACAGCTGTCATGGTGAAGATTATCAGATATTTCTTTCCGTAATGTGCCTTTGCAAATAAGGTCTAAAAAGAGATGAAGTGGTTTTGTTGAATTCATCCCAAGCAGCTCCTTGCTGTAGTATGCAGTGCTCTACCGGCTGCTCTCAGGCACATACCCCAAGACAAACATCAACTGTGCCTAGAAGACCATCAAGTTGGTGAAAGATGCTATTTGTTCTGCCTGAAACTTGTTGGTCCTGCAATACAAAAAATTGTCCTCAACTAAGTGTTGCAGACTACGACATCCCAATGACGAGGACTGTGTGCTAAAAGATAAAGTAAAACCTAAGGCAGTTATCACAAAGACGCAATAGGGAAAGGCCACTAAGGTCTTTCTGCCATAATGTACCAAGGTGCAGATAACCCATAGAATGCCTCAGGCTGTATGCATCAAACGGAATGATTATGGTTCGTCATATTTAGTGCATGTTCCAATTTCGCAATTGGATTGAGGCACCTAAGAGTGCAAAGTGTTCAACTGAAAAATGTGGAATTTTGTATTTTATGAAATATCCGATTTGAATTGTTTGCAATATAATTGTAGGTATTTTGTTAGAGAAGTATATTTTTGCTAAAACATTGGCACTCAAAATAGCCTTGAATTTGATTACCAGCACTGTTCTTTCTGCCATGGGTGGCCCATAAAAGGTAATCAAAGAAAACTAGGAGGACGAGAATAAATTATATATTTTCAAAATAATGAGCAGAGAGCAAAACAATTAATGATTATAGAAATGATACATTACTGCTGGCAAAGCTTGTTTGCACTCACATGATGATGGCAGTTCTAACAAAAGGTCACTGGACCTGAAGTATTAACTCTGTTTTACTCTCTACAGAGACTGCCAGACCTGCTGCATTTCTCTAGCACTTCTGTTTTTGCTGGTAATGATGATAGTCCTATCTGGGTGTGTGCACATGACAACTAGTTAGAATTGCTAAATCATACAGATAAATTTGGTAAAATAATTCAACAATCCAATAAGGATTTCCAAGAACTTTTGTCACGTGGTGTAAATAACCATGTAAATATTTGCTCACTGAACTAAACATAACTTTATATTGTGAATTATTTTTAATCCCAAGGGCACATATAACGATTGTACTATTTTACACACCAAATGAGCTTCATAAAGAGTACAATATAAATGTTTATTATAAAGGTTATCCTGATTTTCAGTCATAGTTTAACGATTCATCTTTAAAATATTTGTATTTTAATTGAAGATATGTGAATGCATGCAATATTCGACTCATTGCTGTTGTAAGACTTTGTACAGCTGTTGAAAGTATTCCCCTGAGTAGGATAGAACAATCATGCCTTTTCTATGGGCTTTCCCAAAGGGAACAAAATGACAATGATCCCAGAATGAAGTCACAAAATTGGTGAGCATGAGTTGCAACTTCAATCACAGTATTTCTGTATTGCTGTTGATCAATGCTCCAAATTACTTGCGAACATAAATGAAGAAAAAGGCAGGAAGACAATGTTGTGAAATAATAAGATTAAAATTGATGGGATGGATGCAAGAAATTGTAAGTTACTTTTTAATAAACCTTACAAGCAAGCTGCATTCTTCTAAAGACAAAATTAACCAGGCATTTCATTGTCCATTCCCTTCACAACAATGCACACTTGCTGTTAACGATTGTACGCAGTTAAAAGCCACCACCCTAGTGATCCTTCCGATGACAAGAAACATTAGCATGCAATGCTAATTATGTTAGACCACAATCTGATAAAGGAATGCTGGGCCCAAGTTTCATTATCTAACTGGACACAGTATCATAACCAAACAGGTTGACCAATATGACTGTTTTTCCCAAAGATAAATTTCAAGGATAAATTAAGGGAATGTTTCTTGAAAACTGAATGGGCAACCTAATCACAATGGGAAAGCCCTCTCACCAAATACAGGATAATGTTTGGGAATGGGCTTTTCTGAAGAAGGGTCTAGGCCCGAAACATCAGCCTTCCTGCTCCTCTGATGCTGCTTGGCCTGCTGTGTTCATCTAGCTCTACACCTTGGTATCTCTAATGTTTAGGAATGTACCTTTTGATCTTTTTTACACCACCTCTTAACTGTATGTCACAAAAAATATATAAATATCTCAACGTTAATTAGATTCGGTGGGGGAAGCACATTGGTATGGGTCATGTCCACCTCACTCTGTATGAACCTAACAGATCTCACACTCGCAAGGACAAAGATAATTGTGATGTTTGATGGATATCCTTGCTTTCCATTAAAAACTTGCATTTGTATTAAGTAGAGGTCAACATTTGGATTTGCTTGTAGCAAAAAGGACAAGGATTTAGGATTTTATTAGCTTTGCAATTTACATTCTCTGTAAAACAACCAAAACGGCATGCCTTTTTGTAGAATTACATTTCAGTTTACTTAACATTTAAATTGTCTCATCTAATCTTCAGGATCAAGCACTCAGTAATCCCTCCTCCCATTCTCTTTGGTGGGGAAATATTTTATGAGGAATTTCACCTAGAACTTTACAATATTGGGAAAATTATAAGCTAGTTAAAAAACAATTATATTTCAAACCATCAGGAAGAATATCCTTGAGTGCCTTACTTCCATTGGGTTGGGAGGGCTAGATGAACTCTGTAAACCCAATCTGTCGTTCTGGAACAAAAACAGAAATTGCTGGAAAAACTTAGCAATCTGGCAGCATCTGTGGAGAGAAATCAGAGTTAACGTTTTGGTCCTTCCTGAGAACTCAGAACTCCTGCATCCGCACTTCTTTTGGTTTTTACTGTAGGTTCTGGAGTTTAGCCCCCTCTGGTGGAAGCTGAGAGAAGTCAGTTGAGATACCTCTGATCCTAATGACTCCAAGTGAACAATCGTGGTTGTTAAAAAAACACAATGTAAGCAATTCTGAACTTAAAAAGTAGATTGTCACCTGTAGTTGGACCATGGTTGTCTACAGAAGTTACCCATCCTGGTTCAAATGTAGATCAGACAAGCATCAGGAGAATTCATCTGCCCTACCATTCATATACCTCTTTCTGGTTCTTATTTATAAATGTATGTCTGGAGTAAATTTGAAAACTTATGTAGCACATTCACAGCTATGTTCTATAATATTTCCAAAACAACTTTAACATGCATTAGATTAAGCTCTGCTCGCCTCTACTGCAGTTGATTGTGAAAGCCCAATTCTACTTCACAGACTTGAAACAGAATAATTCAATCACAATAGCAAAACAAATATAACCAAACAAAATAGTAATGTTGTACAGAGGTTTTAACCACTGGAGTACAAATATCTAAAATTAAGTTTACATATCATATTTTCCACTAATATCTAATTTCAGTCCAGTATTTTAGATAAAAATTATAAAAGTATAAAGACAACCAGACATATAAATCTACAAGTGTTTCATTTTGATTTACTTGTTCACTGCAGTACGTGGTCCAGTACATAATGCAATCATTGGTAACTCTGAGACTAAAGCTGACCTTGGAGATTTCATGACTAAATAATTCAAGTTATTTTGGGGTATCACAAGTTTCCTATAGCTTAGTTGAATAGGCAGTGTGTGGATCAGCTTAACATGAAAGGATGGGATTTTGATCCTTGCATGATTGTGGCACACTCTAGGCTTATGTCTCACCCACATAATAAAAAAAGACAGCATTTTGCTGCATTTCAGTAAATAAATTACAAGGACCGCTTTCAGGCAGCAAACTGGAAAAGTACCAATTCACCAATGACTTCTGTTTCTCAAATGGGCAAACTGCCACAACAACACAGGAATTGGAAATAACAGTGGCTGCTATTGCAATTGTTGTGTTACAGCATCTCTTGTAAAGAAATCATCTGATAACATGGCATAGGCTGTGAATTTCTGAATTGGTCTCTTCTTGGCTTTTCAACGCATGAATTGCTGGAAATCCTGAAACAAAGTGGCTGAAATATCTCTAACATCTCTTCAGAAGTACATGGGTTAATGCTTATGTTAAAAAAGGATAAATCCAGAGAGCCTCTTCAAACGTTTTAGAAAACAAGGTGGTCCACCAACATTCCAAGGTATCTTGGAAGAGCCAATAGATGGGACTGGAAGTCAAAAGACTCTAGAAAACCACCTCAGAATAATGGGACATTGGTTGAACCTGGAACAAGGCTGTTTGCGGACTACGTTAAGAAATTCCACATACACAGAGATCAGCATTTAGCATGCTTTTCCAGTCACTTCAATGAAAGCAGAAATGTTTGAATCATGAAGATTCAATCAGATGACAAATAAAAGGTACCAATTCATTTATAATATGGATGGACAATCTAAGAAATTTAATACAAATGCCTTGCTTCACAAACATATCAAAAATATAGTAACAGTAAATATAATTAGAACAATATTAGTGCTTGTCAAAAATGAAAACACTGCAATATTTCTGTTGCATTTACTAGTTATCAAATAGGCTAAACGGTTGAATAGACATCAGAAAGTCTGTCAACTGTTGCAATACTCATTGTTGAATTTCATAATTGTGTCTATAATTAGTTTTGGACATTGATAATTTTCACAGGTTTTATGATTTCATGAGTTATTATTGTATCTATGCAGACCTTGTGACTGGTACAAACAAAGCAGTGTTGCACTTGCAAAAAAAAAAGGAATTGCCATTAAGTGGAAATAAATATTGAACTGGTGAGGCATCATTCCCAGAGATGTCTTATGATGTATTGTCAGAACTTCACAGATACTGTCTAACCTGCTGAACTCTCAGCATTTTCTGTTATTATTTCATATTTCCAGCATCCTCACTAGTTATCTTCTTAAAATTAATTAGCGAATGACAATATTCAATTTGCACATAATATTTAAAGTGTAACTGCAGGCTGACAGGTGATCTCTGTGGAAATACTGAGTTCAGAGAAATTGGACTGCTTGGTAAAGTCTGACTGAAGATCTCTATTCCAACTTTCTACAGTGCTCTGTAACTCCAAGTAAAGGATTTCCGGGATACTGAACGAATACATTTGATGCTTGAGGTTTTTAGTGATTCGGTGACAGAAAGCAGAGGCAGAGAAAACCCGAAGCTCAGTCATGCTCAAACAATTCTCAAAAGTTTTAGTAAAATCAAACCAGTAGGAAATCGGGAACCCGAGGAGAAATCCAAATATTGTGCATAGATTCCACTCTGAAGAGAAAATTTTACTTGCACTAACAACACCTAATTCACATCTTCCTCTTTGAATTACTTGGGATTTCAAGTGCTTCAAAATTAGATCCAACTGGGCCTTCACTTGGTTACTGACACATGTCTCAGCTAGTATTGGACTGGGCCTATCCGCAGAAACATCAATTATTGGAACCCTGTTTTCTTGCAATGTTCTTTCCAAATGTCTGATGGCTTTGTTTAAGTTTATTATCAGTACGTTTTCTTCAATGCTGAGGATATGTAAATGTTGAGAAAGAAGCCTGGTCTTCTGTACCTCCTGGATGTAGTTCTGGACCTGTTCCGCTTTTGCTAGACTGTAATCAAACAGGAAAGTGGGTTTCAATTCCGAATCCACAGCTAGGATCTCAGCAAAGAGATTCAAGCAACACGATGCAGAAAAATTCTTCTTTTGTTTTATTCTTAAAGTTTTCTGTGCAGCAAAGATCAGTTGCTCTTTCAGTGTAGTCTCCATTGTGGTAGAAAACAGACAAATCTATTTGCAGATAAGAAGATCATGAATAAACTAACTTCAGCAACAGAGATATTTTGCAGAATAAAACTCTTTGGCGCCGTTACTGCCAAGCAATAACCAATTCCTATATCCTGTTCCACTTTCTTTTTCAAAGGGAGAACGGACAGCGAACCAAGACAACTAATATTGTCTCCTCTCCCTCATAATCTTTAGTACCAGCAAAAGGGGTGAGCCATTTCAAAATCCTTCTCTGAAAAATTTGAGTCAGCTAAGGGCAGTTAAGTTTTACTTTGTGTTCCCACGTCGGTTTTCGTTCCTGCATTCCAATATTCACGAACCCCTATAAATAAATTCCTCTTCCCTCGTGCCTATTTGAAGGCAGCAATCTGATGCCACAAAAACAGAATTTGCTGGAAATGCTCAGCGGGTCTGGCAGCATCTGCGAAGAAAAAAAAAAATCAAGAGTTAACGTTTCAAGATAAGAGTCAGACTTGGCACAAAATGGTTATGGCTCTTGGAGATCAATCACATTGATCTAAGGCATGCCTCCAACCAGATCTGCTGAGCTTTTCCAGCAACTTCTGCTTTTTGTTCCTGATTTAGAGCAACCGCAGTTCTTTCGGGTTTTTTTTAAATCTGACGCCACTGAAGCTTTCTGGTCCTTTAAGACAGAGTGAAACGTAACTGCAGGGTTCAACCCTACCCTTCTGGAATTCCCACGCCACGACGGTTTTATAGCAGAGATAGTAGGAACTGCAGGTGCTGGAGAATCTGAGATAACAAGGTGTGGATCTGGAGAAACACTGCAGGCCAAGCAGCATCAAAGGCGCAGGAAAGCTAACGTTTCGGGTCAGCTTCAGACCCTTCTGAAGAAAATTTATAGCAGCCACCGTTTCCCCACCAAAGCGGGGAGGCTGTGCCACACCCGTCAATTCAGGAGCCAGTGGGTTTTAAAACCCCGAGCTGTTTTACCCGAGGCATGTTGCTCAGGGGAGGGCTTATGGCGCAGGCTGTGTGATCACTGCTCGGGCCCTGCGCCCTCACCATCACCCCATCCCCTCCTCCATCTCCCCCCGGACCCCAATCACCCTCTCCCACAAGCTCCACCAAGCAAAGCGAAACGCTTCGGCTTTACACAATCGATATATTTTTTAAAACACCCACTTTCACCGCGAACGAAGCAAAACTCCCGATCCCCAACGCGCGCCGCCCAAAGGGTCACCCTCCCCCCAAACCGCGCGTGCGTCGCTTCACACGCATGCGCCTCTGGATCGGGCCAGCCATCGCTCTGCGCGCGCACGTGTGTCAATAAGCAGAGGCTTGGGGACCACTTTGCAGAACACCTATGTTAGGTTCGCACTAAACAACTGCACCTCCCAGTCGCGAACTATTTCAACTCCCCCTCCCATTCCTCAGACGACATGTCCATCCTGGGCCTCATGCAGTGCCACAACGATGCCACCTGAAGGTTGCCGGAACAGCAACTCATATTCCGTTTGGGAACCCTGCAGCCCAGTGCTATCAATGTGGACATCACAAGCTTCAAAATCTCCCCTCCGCCTACTGCATCTCAAAACCAGTCCAGCTCGTCCCCGCCTCCCTAACCTGTTCTTCCTCCCACCTATCCCCTCCTCCCACCTCAAGCCCCACCCCCATCTCCTACCTACTAACCTCATCCCGCCCCCTTGACCTGTCCATCCTCCCTGGACTGACCTATCCACCCCCAACTCCCCACCTACACTCACCTTTACTGGCTCCATCCCCGCCTCTTTGACCTGTCTGTATCTTCTCCTCTATCCATCTTCTATCCGCCTCCCCCTCTCTCCCTATTTATTTCAGAACCCCCTTCCCCTCCCCCATTTCTGAAGAAGGGTCTAGGCGTGAAACATCAGCCTTCCTGCTCCTCTGATGCTGCTTAGCCTGCTGTGTTCATCCAGCTCTACACCTTGTTATCTCAGGCTCTGTGCCTGTCTATCTTTGCAGTTTTAGTTTTAAATTACCTTCTGCTGTAAGATTTTTGCATATGTTTAAGCTCACATCCATGAGTTTGGGTTCAATTCTTGATCAGGACGGGAATCAAGGTTTGCAGGGAAAACACAGGTAATTGTAGGATTTGGGTGTATTATCATTACATGTACCTAGGTACATGTAAAGTTTGGTTTTAGGTGCAGTACAGGTAGATCATACCATACAAAGATAATAGGGTGATAGAATGAAGCGAGAAAGACCATAGCCTACATCACTTCTAGGATTTTGTGAGCTATGATTAACTCCAACCAATGTCTGCTGCCCTCAGAGGAAGGGTCACTGGACCCAAAACATTAACTCTGGTTTTTTCTTTACAGATGTTGCCAGATCTGCTGAGCTTCCAGTAACTTCTGTTTTTGTAATCTGTTAGCCTCTCCATTATTTCTCTATTCCTCATTGTAAACTCTTCTGACTCTGCTTTTACTGGGCTCACAAAGTGTTAACCAAAGCTTTCATTTTTACATTCCTGTAGAAGCTGAGACAGTCTATTTTTAGGTATTTTACTAGATTGCTTTCATATCGTATACTTACCTTCTTATCAGTTTCTTGGTTGTTCTCTGCTGCATTCTAAAAACTTTCCAATCCTCAGAATTATTATTATTTGTGGCCTCCTTATGGTTTTTTTTTAATCTTACTCAATCCTTAACTTGCTTTGTCAGCCACAGTTGACTGTCCTTTTTTTGAATTTTTTGTTCTTGTGGGAATGTATTGTTGCTCTAAGTTATGGAATGGTTATTTAAAGACTGTCCATTGCCTATATACGCTTGTGCCTTTTGATGTATTTTCCCAGTCTCTAAGTACTCACTACTCATTTTTGAACAAGAGTAAAATTTAATTTTATTGTGGTTCTTATCTCTTTTACAATGATATTATTCATTATTCCTTTTTCCTTATGACATCTAAAATAACCTGATCTGGTCAGGTCCTCAAAATGCTGCTCCAGAAAATCATCCCTGAGATATTCCAGAAACATATTCCCTATAGTTTTAGTGCTCAATTGGTTTATATGCAGATTGAGGTAAGCGATGATTACTGTGTTGCTCGTACATACTTTGCTCATCAACTGATTAATACCATGGCCTACATCACCTCTAGGGTTTTGTGAGCTATAAATAACTCCAACCAATTTCTGCTGCCCTTGCAGTTTCTGAATTTCATTTGAACAGATTCCACACCTTGTTTTTCCAATTTTAGATCCTCCCTTACTAATGAACTGACCCCATCTTGTATTATCAGTACCAATTCCATCTCCTATTCTTTTTTGACTGACCTTCCTAAACATTGCATGTCTTTGAATATTCAGTTCACAATCTTGGTCACCATGCAGCCAAATTTTCCATAATGGTAATTATGCTATAAACATTTACTTCTATTTGAATCATCTATCTTGTTATGAATGCTGAGTGTGTTCTGGTGGTGTGCCATTAACTTTGTCTTTTTGATGTCATTCCACATCCTAGGCATACTCAATGCTTGGCTTTGTTTCTCCTGTCTTCTGCATCCCTTTGCAGCTTTTCTACTTCCTGTTAGAAAATTTGCTTCCTTCTAATTTGGGTTACCCCTCAGGATCCATCCCCCTGACATCTGGTTTAAACTAACTCCAACAGCACTAACAAATCTCCCTGCGAGAATATCAATCCCAGTCTCATTAAGGTGTAACCTGTCCAAATAGCATAGGACTCATTTTCCTAGAACTGGTCTCAATGCCTCAGAGACCTGATATCCTCCCTGTTATACCAGTTCTCCAGCCATGTTTTCAATCAACAGATCTTCCTGTTGTTATGCTCATTAGCGTCTGGCACTAGGAGTAATCCTGAGGTGGCATCTTAATTTAATGTTTTACGTGAAGGACTTCCAATATGATATAACTCCCTTTGATTTAGCACCAAAATGTCAATCTCCATGATGTGCTTAAATTTCTGGAATGGGATTTGGATTAATGATCAGATTCAAAGGTTAAGGTGTTACGACTAAGCCAAAAATGATATTTTGTCCCTGTCACTTATAGGTCACATTGTTTATTTGGTCTTTTATCATTTTATTTAGCACAATAAACTGCCAGTTAGGCAGCTGGTTTAGCATTTTGGAACAAGTTTACATTTTTCAGGTGGACTTAACACAGATGGCTGGAGTGTAGTGCAGTGATGCCAACAATGTGGATTTAATCCTGTTCAGGTATTGGCTGTGGTAGTTCATGGAGGCCTTGCCTTGCTTTGTCTTGCCTCATGCATGATCCTTAGTTGTGTCCCACAAGCCAAATAACTACTTAACACAGTGTGGAGATGGAGGAACACAGCAGGCCAGGCAGCATCAGCGAAGCAGGAAAGCTGACATTTCGGGTTGGGAACCTTCTTCAGAAATGGGGGAGGGGTTGGAGATGGGGGTGGGGGTGGGGGTGGGGATGGGGCTCTGAAATAAATAGAGAGAGGGGGGTTGGGAAGGTAGCTGGGATGGTGATAGCAGGTAGGTAGTGATGCAGATTGGTCAGTGAGGTGGGAGGAGTGGATGGGTGGGAGAGAAGACGGATAGGTCAAGGAGGCGGGGATGAGAGGGAGGGTTGGTCTTGGGATGAGGCTGGGGGTGGGGAGATTTTGAAGCTAGTAAAGTCCACATTGACACCATTGGGTTGTAGGCTTCCAAGGCGGAATATGAGGTGCTGTTCCTCCAGTTTCCGGGTGGCGTCATTGTGACAAAGCTCTACCCTAACCCTAACCCGCTTTGTAGATCACCTGTGCTCAGTTCGCGACAAACGACAACACCTCCCAGTCGCAAACCACTTCAACTCCCCCTCCCACTCCCTGGACGACATGTCCATCCTGGCCTCCTCCAGTGTCACAAAGATGCCACCCGGAAACTGGAGGAGCAGCACCTCATATTCCGCCTTGGAAGCCTACAATCCAATGATCTCAATGTGGACTTTACTAACTTCAAAATCTCCCCACCCCTGGCCTCATCCCAAGACCAACCCTCCCTCTCATTCCCGCCTCCTTGACCTGTCCGTCTTCTGTCCCATCTATCCGCTCCTCCCACCTCACTGACCAATACCCACCACTACCTACCTGCTATCACCATCCCACCTACCTTCCACAGCCCAACCCCCCCCTCTCTATTTATTTCAGAACTGCCTTTCCCTCCCCCATTTCTGAAGAACGGTCCCGACCCGAAACGTCAGCATTCCTGCTCCTCTGAAGCAGCCTGGCCTGCTGTGTTCCTCCAGCTCCACACTGTGTTATCTCAGACTCCAGCATTGGCAGTTTTTACTATCTCCAAATAACTACTTGTCTCTCTCTCTAACAGATAGAAATCTCAATGATAGCTTAAGAACAATGGCTAATTACTTTCCGATCTCAGGGTATAGGCGCAATAGATTCTTCTACAATCAATTAGGGTTCTAAAGGGGATAATCTAAAAGTAGATGTCTCCCCAGACTTCATGCCAGTACTGGACTCTGGTTATGTGCTGAGTTCCTGATGTACAATTGTTTTATGGTAATGATGGAAAACGTGACATCTGATAACAGTCTACAGTTAGTTTTGAAATTTCTGCTCATACTTGAATGAACATAATCAGTAGACCCTATTACTGTCAATGGCTAAATCCTGGATGAAGAACGGACCTACAACTCTATCAAAGGAAAGCAGAGCTTTGAAGGAGTTTGTGACTGAACATTATGCCACATATATTGTAAGATCTATCTCTGTGTCATCTGTTCACTAATGTGTAATATACATATATTTTTCACTGGATGTTGGGCCTCACTCTGTCAGATGCTAAGCTGTTCTAGTGTTCACCTATATTTGATTTATTGTCCATTTGGTTTCTTCATTGGGCTGTTCAGTTAATTTGATTCCTTTGGATGGTTCGTTTCCATGGACATTTTAACAGCTAAAATACATATACAAAAGGAATCGAAGCTGGATTTTTCCAATAGACCAAATACAATTTGCAATGTTGAGCACCCTGTTTAGTTTATTCAGTCTTATAAGGTAAATGAAATTGTAGTTGTGACGTGAAATAATTTTCTATGCATTACAAATGATCATTTTCTACAATATGTTGGAATAACAGTAGATCTTCAAACAGTGCCACATTTCAAACTGAATTTGTTATTTCACTTAAATCAGGAACACAGGAGATATGAAGTGTTAGTATTTATTATTAATATGAAACAAGTTCCACTTGTAGCTTTATTCTTGGAACAAGTTTAAAAATTGTTGCATTGACAACTAAATTAAGTATCATCTAACTGTACTGATGACAGACGTGATATACATCACTCTGTAATACCAGAATCACAAGAGATCAGTAATCACAGGTAATGATTGACTTTTACCAATTAGAAAACGTATGTCTCATCTCCACTTGATTATAAGTAAACTTGTACATTTAATTAAAAGTGTGGTCAAATCCTGTGTAGTTGCTTAATAAATAGCACCCTTCAGCTGGACAATTGCAGGTAAATTTATTGATTCCATCTACACACGTGGTTCCTGGTGGGCAAGGGTTCATGAGCTCACACTCATTGATGTCTAAAAAATATATAAATATGTTAATTATAAACCACATTATGTACTGCTTTTGTAATAATATTTCAGTCTTTTGAACATAGATGCAATGTACAGAAGTGTAGACAAATGCCTTTTCCTGTTGAGACCTGATTTCAAACCCAGAATGATCAGAAAAGTCTCTGCTGGCTGTCGATAGCCTTTATGTAGGTTTCATAGAACCATACAGAAGGAGGCCCTTTATCCCATTCTATGTAAGCCAGCTTTAAAAGGTGACACAAAATCTGCCTCATTAAGGAAGGCCACAGGCTGTGAGAAATGGACAAGTGGCAGTACAGACAGCTGCCATTATATTGAGGCAGTGGCGTGGCATTACAGGGCAACAGAGGAAACATCAGTCTGTAACTAGCTAGACTATACTAAACTAAGTTCCTGACTGGATACTGTTCATTAATGCCCCTCATTTTAATAAGCACAAAAATATTTCCTGAAATATTGGTATGTATTATGTATTATTTTTGTTGTGTGTTATGCTAGGATGGTGTTCCTTTAAGAGGTGAGTCATAGAAGTGTCATCAGCCAGATTCATGGGCTTTGTCAGATTTGTCTGTCCCTTTACAGAGTGCACATCTTCAAAGCTTTCCCTGTTGGATTACAGACCACAAAGACTTTATATGTTCTTCAATTCTATCTGGATCCTACAAAATGCCCATTAAGAATAGTATCCAATAACAAAATTTGCTGGTAATAGCAGGTAGGTAGTGGTGGGGAAGCGAGAGAGGAAATAGCTGGGGCCTTAACAGATATCTTTGCAGCATCCTTGAGCACGGGTGAGGTCCTGGAGGACTGGAGAATTGCTAATGTTGTCCCCTTGTTTAAGAAGGGTAGCAAGGATAATCCAGGTAATGATAGACCGGTGAGCCTGACGTCAGTGGTGGGGAAGCTGCTGGAGAAGATACTGAGGGGTAGGATCTATTTACATTTGGAAGAAAATGGGCTTATTAGTGATAGGTAGCATGGTTTGTGCAGGGAAGGTCATGTCTTACCAACTTGATAGAATTCTTTGAGGAAGTGACAAAGTTGATAGATGAGGGAAGGGCTGTAGGTGTCATATACATGGACTTCAGTAAAGGCGTTTGATAAGGTTCCCCATGGTAGGCTGATGGAGAAAGTGAAGTCACATGGGGTCCAGGGTGTACTAGCTAGATGGATAGGGAACTGGCTGGGCAACAGGAGACAGAGAGTTGTATGGAAGGGAGTTTCTCAAAATGGAGAACTGTGACCAGTGGTGTTCCACAGGGATCCGTGTTGGGACCACTGTTGTTTGTGATATAAATAAATGATCTGGAGGAAGGTATAGATGGTCTGATTAGCAAGTTTGCAGATGACACTAAGATTGGTGGAGTAGCAGATAATGAAGGGGACTGTTGGAGAATGCAGCAGCATATAGATAGATTGGAGAGATCGGCGGAGAAATGGCAGATGGAGTTCAATCGAGGTGAGTGCGAGGTGATGCATTTTGAAAGATCCAATTCAAGAGCGAACTGTACGGTAAAAGGAAAAGCCCTGGGGAAAATTGATGTACAGAGAGATCTGGGTGTTCAGGTCCATTGTACCCTGAAGGTGGCAACGCAGGTCGATAGAGTGGTCAAGAAGGCATACGGCATGCTTTCATTCATCGGACGGGGTATTGAGTACAAGAATTGGCAGGTCGTGTTAGAGTTGTAAAGGACTTTGTTTCAACTACATTTGGAATACTGCGTACAGTTCTGGTCCCCACATTACCAAAAGGATGTGGATGCTTTGGAGAGGATGCAGAGGAGGTTCACCAGGATGTTGCCTGATATGGAGGGCGCTAGCTATGAAGAGAGGTTGAGTAGATTAGGATTATTTACATTAGAAAGACGGAGGTTGAGGGAGGACCTGATTGAGGTGTACAAAATCATAAGAGGTACAGACAGGGTGGATAGCAAGAAGCTTTTTCCCAGAGTGGGGGACTCAATTACTAGGGGTCACGATTTCAAGGTGAGAGGGGAAAAGTTTAAGGGAGATATGCACGGAAAGTTCTTTACACAGAGGGTGGTGGGTGCCTGGAATGCGTTGCCAGCAGAGATGGTAGAGGCGGGCATGATAGCGTCATTTAAGATGTATCAAGACAGATACATGAATGGGCAGGGCACAGAGGGATACAGATCCTTGGAAAGTAGGAGACAGGTTTAGATAGAGGATCTGGATCGGCGCAGGCTTGGAGGGCCGAAGGGCCTGTTCCTGTGCTGTAATTTTCTTTGTTCTTTGTTCTTTATATCAATGTAACCAGTAACTAGTTGCTAGCAAGTAATAAACTACTTTTGCAAGAGATTTTCTAGTTAGTCCAGTAAGTGGTTTTTCTTAATCACACTTGAGCAAGCAGACCCTGTCGATCCTTATATCTAAAGGGGATTGTGGCAGCAAACCTACCCAGTGATGAGGTGCAGACTCAGTTTGACTGCACATACAACATGGTGAACAGCAGTGTTGATTTCATTCAGCAATCTCACGCAACATGCTGACAGTGGTGGACGTCTGAAGATTTTTTTGGTTCTTCAGACTCCACTAAGTCACTCATTCTTGTGACAGCAACAGGGAAAAGCTGAAGATTTAAGAACCTTACAGCAGAAACATTTGTGATAAGATTAAACAAGAAATACTCTACAGTAAATCACAAAAGCATTTGAAACCTGCTAAGAGACATGCTGCAGCATTTGAGTGAGAAACTCCCTGGAGAAAGAGAATTAATTATACCAAAGCAGAGACAGACTACAACAGGTGGAGGTTGTCTGTCAGAGCACACTTAAGTCAGAGAGTGATTGGACAATGGCACACAATGAATAAAGTCAAAATCTGTATTGAGCTAGGGCAAAGTTTTAAAAGATGGCGTGGGTTTACAGGCTAGGAGAGTGAAAAATAAAGAAAACACCTACAGCTCGTGTCGAGTGTCATTGCCATAGCAGGCACAATTACAACAAAGGAAATTAAGGGCTTAACCTAAACTGAGATTCAGGGATACCGCAAAGCTAGAATTAAAGTAATGAAAGGGCAGAAGAAAAGCCTAAGCAGCCATAGTCTAACAGATAAAGGAAGGGAGGAGATTTAATTGAAGCCATAGAAAAGGTAATAGATTCTTCAATAAAAGCAACATCAAAGGCAAGAAAAATGTGTTTAAATCAATGGGAAGCAGGAATCATACAGAAAAAAAAGGAAGAAGTAGGATTCATCTAATAAAACTGTCAATTGTGGGAGTAATTTAGTAAAACTATCATTAATACAGGATTAAAGATAGAGGCAGCAGAGGTAATTCAATAAAGGTCTTAAGGAAATGAATTTAAAGGAAATCAATTTTCCAGTGAAAATGTAGGAAAGATGGAATCCTCTGATGAGCCTGAAAATCCTGGGAAAACCTGCAGTACAGCAGCGCACAGCAGCAGCACTACATTACTGCAAAATAAAACTCTTTTAAGCAAGGAAACAAAATAATCACATTACAAAGACATGGCATGAGAAATAAAATTACCAAGAAGATTAATTTCAGATATTGACAAAAAGAACACTGAATTGGACATCTTTGAGAAAATAATAGTTAAAATACAGAATAGCTTCAAAATTAGATACTTAAATTAGAAATTGAACATGTTTGTGCATTTTGATCTGCATTTCAGAGTACAGCCAATGATGTTATAACTCACTAAGGGGTAAAACAAACAACAGGTTCTTTTGAAGAAGTACTAAAAGCCTTTGACAATTACATTAATCTTAGAACAAATGAAACAATTGGAAGAGCAAGATTTTATCAGACAGCTTAGCATCCAGGGAAATACATAGATTATTTCATTAATTATAAGAATTATCATTATTTACACGTAGAAATGTAACACTGGTGATTTTAAATCAGAATTCATAAAAGACAGAATTGTTGGCTGATTTACTGATGATTCTTTGTCAGATTTATTACATCCAAAGAAGATTTTATTTTAAAGATAGCCTTTCAAATGGTGAGTGAAACTGATGTCAGAAAGCATAACAGATGAATATTAACAGGGGAAGATCAACCTTAGCACTGGAAATCAGAATCTTTTCAGTAAACCAATACTGACTGGTACAAGCATCAGATTCGAAATGTCCTTGTCAGTGTTGTGGAGCAAATACAGACCACAAGCACAGAGGATGCCCAGTTATTAAAAGTGAATACTTTGTCTGTTACACAATGTACAATACAAAATATCCCCTTAAATGTCTGCTATTGCATCTCTATTGACTTATCCATTAACCCAATTTGCTAGTTCACTTTAGCTAGCTCTGATTTCAACCAGAATTGCTTTTATTCAAGTTTAAAATAATAGTCTCAGACTCATTTCTCTGTCCCTCAAACTGAATAGAAAATTAAATCATTTATGATCACTACAACCTTGGGGTGGATTCACGGTGAGATAATAAATTAATCCAATCTCTATGTACTATAACAGGTCTGGTCAGTTGGTCAGCTTCAAATGTGCTGTTCTAAGAAATAACCTCCAAAACATTGTATGAAACTGTCTTCTATGGTATCTTTGTTCATCTGGTTTTCCAGTGTATATGTAGATTAAAATCCCCAATGACTGTCACTGCACTTCTCTGACAAACTGACATTTTTCTGTATTTATACTCTATCCTGTGTAGTTACTGTTCGGGAGCTTGTATTTTATTCCCACAAGTGTCCTCTTTCCTTTATCATTTCTCATCTTGCTCCTACTTCCTGGTTTACTAAATTTAGGTCATGCCTGTTTATAATTCTAGTAACAATGTTAATTAACAAAGAAACCCCATCTACATTTCTATAGTGACCTGTCCTTTCAAAGTGCCATGTACCATTCAATAATTAGATTTCAATCTATGCCATCCTGAAACAACGTCCCTGTAATTGCTATTGGATTGTAGTTGTTTACTTCTAGTTGCACAAACAGTTTTTTTTCTGTTTTGAATTCTATGTGCATCGGGTACAGAGTCTTTAACGTTGTCCTTTCAGGAAGGAAGCAGCCCCAATCTTCAACCAGATGCCAGATTCTAATATTCTATCAGTAGCCATTTTGCCAATAGACAATAGGATCTAGCATCATGAATGACATGCCCTCAAAATAACAAACATGACTTTTAAATGATCTAGGAATGTTGAATCATTATGTAGAGCAATACAGAGACTATCTATCCATCTTAACTGTGCGCACTTCAACAGTTATCTGTCCTAAACTGCCGTGACATTTAATGATCCACAAAGCTTTGACTTTTAATCATCTTGTAGTTATTCTCAATGAGAGAAAGAAATACATGACAGAAGTGGATGTAAAATTACATTGTGATATTGTCATGCCTTTTTGCATTATAAATTGTATTGAAAATATACAAGAGTCACCAACCAGATTTTTCTCAGTTGTGTTTGGTGTATAGTCAGTTATCAGGAACAGCAAAGAGGAAATGGGGCGAAGCCAAATTTGTGAAGCTCCGAGAACACTCAAGCAGCTTGACACCATCCAAGACAAAGTGACGTGCTTGATTGGCATGTCATCCACCATCACTGATGAGCAGTGGAAGCATGCATTACAGGAGCTCACCAAAGCTCCTTCATTAGCATGTTCCAAACCCATGACCTCTATCACCTGGAAAGACAACAGCAGCGGATTCACGGGGACTCCATCGTTTACAAGTTTCCCTCCAAGTAATATATCATTCTGACTTGGAAATATATCACAATTCCTTCACTGTAATTGGATCAAAATCATGGAACTCCCTTCCTAACAGCATTGTGGATGACCCTACCCTGCATTGGATGAAGAAATTGGGGAGGCAATATCCTCGTGTCATTATTGCTGGACTGTTAATCCAAAGACCCAAGTAATGTTCTGGGGCCCGGGTTCAAATCCCGCCATTGGCAGATGGTGGAATTTGTATTCAACAAAAATCTGGAACCATTTCCGATCGTTGAGAAAACCGATCTGGTTCATAAATGACCTTTAAGGAAGGAAACTATCAACCTTACCTGATATGGACTACATGTGACTCCAGTCCCACAGCAATGTGGTTGAATCTTAAATGCTGCCTGGGATGGGCAATAAATGCTGGCCCATCCAGCAACACCCTCATACAGTGAATGAATAAAAAAAGCGGCTCTCCACCACTTTCTCCAGGGCAATTAGGAATGGGCAATAAATGCTGGCCTAGCCAATGACATCCACATCCTATGAACAGGTAAAAAATAACAATTGTGTCAAGTCTCTGCTGTCACAATGCTATTGCAGGATTTCAGGGAACTTTCTCCATTTCACTTGACCAGCACTTGGGTTCATCGCAAGCCCAGCCAGGGCTTTGTAATTATTGGAAGATAGAATATTTCAAGCCTTTCTGCTCTCATGGTTCTCTTCATCAGGCCTTAATGTATTCCAATGGAAGGATGCTCACAAATCTGGGCAGTGTGAGCTTGTGCCACAAACAGGAGGATCTGCAATGGAAGTTGTGGGTTGTGGGGATATGGTTGGTGTTGTGCCCTTATGGCAAATCAAGAAACATGTTCTATCAGTTACTTAACCAAACTCCCCTTGCAGTGATATTCTATGTTTGAGATAGCAAGAACTGCAGATCTTGGAATCAGAGATAACAAAGTGTGGTGCTGGAGGAACACAGCAGACCAGGCAGCATCAGAGGAGCAGAAAAGCTGACGTTTTAGTTGCTACTCTCCAACAGCAGACAGACAGCCTGTTCCCAGTCAACATAATCCAAACCACGCAGTTGTCACCATCGTCTGATTCAGTGCAAGACCTAGAGAAAGAGCTAAAGGAAGGCCTGCACCAATTATTAGTGCACTCAAGTTATGCAAATGGATTATGACAGGTAACCTAAGAACGCCTTGCCCTCACAGTACATAACTAGTGACACCATTGGGATTGGGGAATCCATGGGAATTCTGAGAGAAAGAATAAAGTTTGTGATAAAAATTCTCTGACCTTGTTCGCAGTGTGTTCCATTAAATCCTCCAAGACATTTGCAATAAAATTCACCATACAGATCAACACACAGCCCATTATTTTCACATGGAGATGAATCACATATTCTACTGCCTGAGAAAGAGAAATTAAATTGGAGTTTTTATTTTGATCTGACATCAAGTAAAGCATGCATTTCTAGACTTATCATAAATTGTTCTCTGCATGTAGCCATCATAAAGTGTTGAAAATTCGGCTGCCAATATCCGCAGATATAAGTCACCCACTAAAGTAATAGGTAGGGGAATTGGTTTGAATCTGTTCTGCATTTGACCATTAATGTTGAAAATGTAATTCATCATCTGCTTTTTCTTAATTTTTTTTGTCTGTTTTCTAGGAGATCTTGTGGTCCAGTGGAAGAGTTCCTGCCTCTAGGTTCAATTCTCATGCCTTGGCTTGTTAACCATGATAGGAGCATTCAGGATGCGGTTCAATATGCTGACAAACAGCTACGCAACCTTTTATGCTCTCCCCGTTGTTACCCAAATGGAACAGAACTGTCTGTGAAGTTGACACTAAAAAAAACCTATTCTCTTTTCTGCCACTATGTTTCACAACTAAAAGGGTTATTATTTTGACAAGTATTGAAGTTATATGCATCATTTTTTACCCATAAACTAATGGAATGGTCTGTAGATCTGCTGTAAAACAGCAACTGTCAAGTTCTTGCTAGTTTTATGAAAGTTCCCCTCCAAGCCATTCACCATCCTGACATGGAAATATGTCATTATTCCTTCAGTATCACTGTGCCAAAATCCTGGAATTCCCTCTCTTAACAGCAGTGTGGGTGTCCCTAAACTAAATAGACTGCAGTGGTTCAAGAATGCAGAATACCACCACCTCCAGGGATAGGCAATAAAGCCTATATCCCCTGAATGAATTTAAAAAAAGGTAGATTTATTATTGGGAAATCAACAAACTGAAAGCTTAACGAAAATAGAAATTCACTGGAAAAGCTTAGAACTAGTTGTGAGGGAGGGTTCCTGGAACAGAACTGTTAACTCTGATTTCTCTGCACAGATGCTGCCAAACCTGCTGAGATTTTCCAGCAGGATTTTCCATCAGTTTTTGTTTCTGATTTCCAGCAGTTCTTTCAGTTTTTAAACTCAAAACTTAGGCTAGCTGTTTGTCAGATATTACTCAGATAGAGTGTTGAATCAAGTAAGAGCAAAGTACAATGCATTCTAGAGATCTAAAATAAAAGTTAGTTAAAATGCTGCATGGTCAAACTTTAAATAAGGCACCAATGCCTGGAATCCTGAGAGCTCCTGGCAGTGGCAAACACTTCCACATTGATGAGTGCATGACAGTGAGAGGAGAACACCATACAGGCATAGTGCATACAAAATAAAGGCAGCTGCAGACAATTCTGTTGAGATAATCTGCTAGAGCTCACAGACAGAAATCCTTCCTGATACTCAGAAAATTGACACTTCAGCCAGAGGGTGGTTAATCTGTGGAACTCATTACTGCAGAAGGTTGTGGATGCCAAATCATTGAGAGTATTTAAGACAGAGGTATTATTATTGAGGGGATCAGACATTATGGGGAGAAGGCAGGAGAATTGTCTTGAGAAATATATCAGCCATGATCGAATGGCAGAGAAGACTCAATAGGCTGAATAGTCTAATTCTGCTCTTGTGTCTTATCGTCTTATGGTCTTAAGCAATTTTTGGTAAAATTCAGCCCATTAACTCTGTTTTTCTCTCTCTCTCCAGAGGTGCAGCCAGGCCTGCTGAGTTTCTCCAGCACTTCGTGTTTTTTTTAAATTTCAGGACATTGACTTCTACTCATTAGTATTATTTGTTTTGGTAGGCCACATAATACTAATTAGACCTTCAGAAACCAGAAAAGAGAATTCTTGGTGTCACTCACTCTGGAGACCTGAGCACGAATTCTAGGCTAACAAGCTGGTGTAGTTCTGAGGTTATGCAGCCTGTAAAAGGTGATGGCCTTTGGCTGAAACATTAAACTGAAACCCAAGATGCTGTCTAAAGTGAACACAAAAGATCCTGTAGCACTATACAAAAGGGCAGCATAATTATCCTTGTGTGTTGGCAAATGTTTGATCCTTAATTAATGTTACTAAAACCGATTACCTGCTCACTAATCAAGTTTTTAGGGAATATCTTTAAGGCGGCTTATCTGAGTAAAACACTTCTCAAAACTACTCCACCAATTACAGAGTGCTTTGGGACATCATGAGGTTGTGAAGCCTTTAATTTTTCTTTCTGGAATGAAACTATCTTTGAACTACTTTTAATTTTTAGTCAATTATTTATATTGATCTAGTCACATAGTCAGGAAAATGGCTTTTTTGATGTCAGAACCTACTTTTGTCTAAGTAAGCACAATACTTTGTATTGTGATGTATTAGAGAAGACATACCTGTGTAGAAATTCCAGAAAATGTCCTTGAATGAAAGAAATAAACAAAAGATTAATAATTCTGCACTTTTAAGGTCAAAAATCAATTGTTCCTAATTAAAGAATCTCAGGCTAACTTCAACTTAATTGTTGCATGGTTGGGGCTCAGAAGTATGCAGCACTATTTAAGGTTACTTTTCACTTGAAACAAAGTGCAATATCTTTACATGCTACAAGCACTGTTTTCATACTAAGTGCCCTCTAGTACATTGTTTAGCAGACATTGATCAGATGAGAATCTAATCTGCACTCTCCACACAACAATTAGTCAACAATTACATTCATTCCACAATTCTTAATGAAGTTGGCATTTTAAATCTAACTGTTTTTGAAAATGATCATGTTTCTTGTTTACTGTTTTAAATCAGTCTCTCCTTTAATCAAAAGGTAAGGGTATTCAGAGCTTCATTTTCCAAATAGAAACACAAACAGACGGCACTTTTCTCCTGGTGTGCCTTTCATCAATTATTATTCTATGTAGGGCAGGATCCTAACACCATTTGTGGGGATTTGCCTCATGGAACTGGGTTCAGTGGATTGGATTAAGTTATTTGAAACCTATCCAATAAAACTGTTTTCTGGAGAAGTAGATCTAAGGATGCTGCAACAGGACACAAAACGACCATGGCTTCAGGCTTTGACATGGAAGTCTTGTTGAACGAAATAATTAAAGAGGGATCTATTACTTGGCACTGTGAGAGGGAAGTCAATCCAAGGCAGTATCCAATTCTACCAATTTTACCAATTCCAATATAGCAGTTCAATGACATAAATGGTTCAGTGAGCTTCTGGAGCTACCAAAGATAACGCCATACTCAAAACAAGCAATGTAAATAGTAAGTTCCATATTGCAGCCAGCTCACTCTTCTAAACATCTGAGATCTTCCCACTTACGTGATTATTAATGTGAAAATGAGAAAGGACAGGTGAGAGATAGACAGGAAGCATTAAACTAGGGGAGGCAATGGCCTAGTGGTATTATTGTTGGACTATTAATCCAGAGACCAAGATAACATCCTAGGTTTGAATCCTGCCACAGCAGATGATGGCATTTGAAATCAATAAAAAAAATCTAACCATGAATCCGTTGCTGATTGTCGGAAAAACCCATCTGGTTCACTAATGTCCTTTAGGGAAGGAAACTGCCATCCTTACCTGTCTGGTTTACATGTGATTCCAGGCCCACACAACGTGGTTGACTCTCAACTACTTTCTGGGCAATTAAGGATGGGCAATAAATGCTGCCTAAAAGTGACTCCTAATCGCATGAATGAATAAGAAAAGCTTAGTCCTTACGGTTTTCTCATCATTTTCAAAAATCTCTCGGACCTCTTCTTTGGAACAGGTTTCTTCTAAACACTCTCTTTCCAGATTCCCGGACGTAATCTCTTCCAATCTCCATTTGTTAGCTCTACGAAATCGTGATAGGAACCGTGCAGCAGCTGATTTCTTTAAAAAAACTACATAATTTTGAATAATAATGTGATACTAAATCAGATGCCTGTGTGGATTTTATGTGTTTTTTTTTGTACCATGTGTTGCAAAGTTGAGTAGAGTACTTGCGGATTGGGAGGCAGGGAGTTAGAATTTGGTGTTGTACAGTGTTGGGGAATGGGGAGAGGGGGAAGCATTGCATGGTCCCTTTAAAAGATGATGCACATTTTCAATACTTAGAGATTTAAACGGGATGTCTGTGAGCAGCTTGAAGGTTTGCACGTACACAGAGAGCACCTGAGTTGAAGCATTTGTATCAAAAGACCACACAGTTAACAGGCTAAGCTGCAGTTTTGTTTAGGTACCATAAAAACATAAGAACCAGAAGTAGGAGTAAGCCATCAGGTCGTTCAAGCCTGCTCCACCATTCAATAAGATCATAGCTGATCTTTTCATGGCCAGTTCCATTTATCCACCCACTCATCATAACCCTTAATTCTTTTACTATTCAAAAAATTATCTGCCTTAGCTTTAAAAACGTTCAATGAGGAAGCCTCAACTACTTCACTGAGCAGGGAATTCCACCGATTCACAGCCTTTTGGGCGAAGAAGTTCCTCCTCAATTCAGTCCTAAATCTGCTCCCCCTAATTTTGAGGCTATGCCCTCTTGTTCTAGTTCACCTGCCCGTGGAAACAACTTCCCTGCTTCTATCTTATCTATTCCCTTCATAATTTTGTATGTTTCTATAATTCCAATGAATATAATCCCTGTCTACTCACTCTCTCCTCATAAGCCAACCCTCAACTTTGAAATCAACCTAGTGAATCTCCTATGCACCGCCTTCAGTGCCAATTAATCCTTTCTCAAGTAAGGAGACCAAAACTGCATGCAGTACTCCAGGTGTGGCCTCACCAGCACCCCATACAGCTGTAACATGAGCTCCCTGCTTTTAAATTCAATCCCTCTAGCAATGAAGGACAAAATTCCATTTGCCTTCTTAATTAGCTTCTTAATTGTACCTGCAAACCAACCTTCTGCGATTCATGCACAAGGACACCCAGGTCCCTCTGCACAGTAGCACGCTGCAATTTTTTACCTTTCAAGTAATAGTTTCTTTTACTCTTATTCCTACCAAAATGGATGACTTCACATTTACCAACATTGAATTCCATCTGCCACTCATTTGCCCACTCACTTAAACTATCTGTATCCCTTTGTAAACTTTCAGATCTTCTGCAAACTTTGCTCTACGATACATCTTAGCGTCATCTGCTAACTTTGGTACACTACACATGGTCCCGAACTCCGAATCATCTATGTAAGTTGTAAACAATCATGGTACTAACACTGATCCCTGTGGCCCTTCTTCAGAAGAAGGGTCCTGACCCAAAACGTCAACTTTCCTGCTTCTCTGATGCTGCCTGGCCTGCTGTGCTTCTCCAGCTCCATACTGTGTTAGCTCTGAGTCCAGCATCTGCAATTCTTGCTATCTCTTAAATTTAAATCTGATGGTTTTGACAACATAGAACCAATCATATTGTAAGAAATTGATATGTCATCAAGGGTATAAAAGGAGAGGACAGTTGGACAAAGACAAAAGAGCTGATGCCATCTGCCAGAGTTAACAGCTCTCAAGTCCCAAGAGAGAATCACTGGCTCACACAGTCTCCTCTAGGTCTTAGAGAAAGTACCATCTAAATGTCAAAGGTACCAAAGGCACAACTAGTTAATAATCCTGACAGAAGAATTGAGGAGAAGGCACAGAACATTCCATAACCTGGCTATAATTTTGAGAGACTAAATTCTATTTTTTTATTGTACTTTATATAAGTGGGACTTCTGCATTTATTGTAAGGGTATATTATTAGAATCTTGTTTTATTCAGGAATAGTTAATGGTTAGAAGGGATTTAGTCAGCTTGTTAATAGTTTAGTTAATTTGTTCACTGTTAGAGTTAGATAAATAAATTGTTACTTGTTGATTGTAAAGTGAGTGTCAGGGATTTATTTTATTTAACCACTAGAAATTGCTGAAAAGCAGGTCACACCACTTTTCACACTCCCTTTCACAGATTACAGGGTGAGGTGCTCCTCTTTGGGCGTTTCACTTCTATTTCACAGAGGGGGAAGGGTCAACCTCCGCTTTATGACACATGATAATGTTGTTGTGTTGAAGTGTATATTGTAATAGCTTGAAGTTGTGAAAAGTACTATATAAATGCAAACTTTTTTCTTTGAAGTATGTTAAGAGTCAGGACTCTAGGCTGGAATTTTACTGGAGTTGCTGGTTTAAAATTTCCCAGAAAATAGACCTGCCACAGAAACTTGTCGAAATATTTTGGGACAAATTGTGCGAATCCATTCAAAAATTCTTTTTGTGTTAAAGTACTTTGGCCTGAAATGGTTAAGTCATAAAGTAACTAAATTGATAATTAATTATTTAGCCTTGCTCAGCTGCAGAGACAGTCTCAAATAAAAAAAAACACAAATAAGCGTTTTCCTCACAATTCTGTCAAACATAGCCACACTCAATATAATGTTTCTAGTTATAGCAGCTTGGTCTGCAATAAACAACTGCACCTCCCAGTCGTGAACCATTTCAACTCCCCCTCCCATTCCTCAGACGACATGTCCATCCTGGGCCTCCTGCAGTGCCACAACAATGCCACCCGAAGGTTGCAGGAACAGCAACTCATATTCCGCTTGGGAACCCTGCAGCCCAATGGTATCAATGTGGATTTCACAAGCTTCAAAATCTCCCCTCCCCCTACCGCATCCCAAAACCAGACCAGCTCGTCCCCGCCTCTCTAACCTGTCCTTCCTCCCACCTATCCCCTCCTCCCACCTCAAGCCCCACCCCCATCTCCTACCTACTAACCTCATCCCGCCCCCTTGACCTGTCCATCCTCCCTGGACTGACCTATCTCCTCCCTACCTCCCCACTTACACTCACCTTTACTGGCTCCATCCCCGCCTCTTTGACCTGTCTGTTTCCTCTCCACCTATCTTCACCTCTATCCATCTTCTATCCGCCTCCCCCTCTCTCCCTATTTATTTCAGAACCCCCTTCCCCTCCCCCATTTCTGATGAAGGGTCTAGGCCTTTAAACGTCAGCCTTCCTGCTCCTATGATGCTGCTTGGCCTGCTGTGTTCATCCAGCTCTACACCTTGTTACCTTTTATTGTTTGTTAGTTTTTGCTGTGGTGTGGAATTTTCACTCTAATACATTATTCTTTTTAACAAACTGTTTGTTTATGGCTTATGGGCTGGAATCAGTTTGATGATAGCTTGGTAAAAACTGAAAGAACTGCGGATGTTGTAAATCAGGAACAAAAACAAGGTTGCTGGAAAAGCTCAGCAGGTCTGGCAGCATCTGTGAAGAAAAAATCAGAGATAACATTTTGAGTCCGGTGACCTTTCCTCAGAACTGAGGAAGCTGCGTTTTGGCAGCAGGGACATGAGTTAAAATTGCTGGGGCCTTTTTTTTCTTATAGCGGGTTTCTAACCCACTTACAGTAAACCTGCTAGAAATTCCCACCTAGGTTAAAATAGGGGCTTGGGCATGTAAATTGCAGGTACCAAGCTATCACCAGGAACAAAAACTGAAGTTGCTGGAAAAGCTCAGCAGGTCTGGCAGCATCTGTGAAGAAAAAATCAGAGTTAACGTTTCAGGTCTGGTGACCCTTCCTCACAGATGCTGCCAGGCCTGCTGAGCTTTTCCAGCAACTTCTGTTTTTGTTCCTGGTGATAGCTTGGTACCTGCAATTTACATGTCCAAACCCCAATTTAACTAGGTGGGAATTTCTAGCAGGTGGACTGTAAGTGGATTAGAAACCCGCTATAAGAGAAAAAAAAAGGCCCAGCAATTGTAACTCATGTCCCTGCTGCCAAATCCACCTCACACCTCTTTCTGCAGAAAATGAAGTGACCCATATAAAAGCAAAATACTGTAGATGTTGGAAATTTGAAACAAAAGCAGAAACTTCTGGAGACACTCAGCAGATCTGCCAGAATTAACGCTTTGAGTCCAATATGACTCTTCTTCACAACAGAATGTTCTTTTTTGGTTAGGAAATGGTCCATGGTTGACTGCCATCAGTCAAGGAGATGTATCAAGGGAGATTCTGGGAGGATCTCAAAAGAGGGAAGGAACAGGGAGCCTGGTGCTGGAGAGACCTCAACTTCCCTTGAGCCCAGAGGAACACTTGCAGTCCTCCTAATCTCATAAGGAAAATAAATATGGTCTCATCTGATCCGTGATCTTCTTTTCACTTGAATGTTTACCTGGTGAAAAAGCCACAGCATCTTATTTACTCAAGCCAGGGGTAAATTGACAGTCAGAAGTGGATGACTTCTTTGGTCCCCAGTCAGGACACGTCAATGAAAATCCTGTGCATTTGCCTGGGCTGTTTAGCCACCCTTCCAGGAGCCTGAGTCAAAATTGTGCAAAGCTCTAGAATGGGCAAATAATCAGGAACAGTTTTAACTACACATCCACCCCCCGCAAGTTTACACCCAAATGGGTAGCATTAAAATGACCATTTTTCCAATCAAAATGCCATAATCCAATTGCCCTAATGGAAACCATTCAATATATCAGTAATTTCATCCCACATAATACCAGCAAAAGGTGTATGAAAATGTTGTATTTGTTAATATATTTGCACAAAATGTAATTGCATTTACACAAAAAAATTAATTTTCAAGAAACAGTATTGTGATCACATTCCTTGATCTCAACTTGTCTGAGGGGATGGTACAAAGAGGAAAAACAGACGGTTCATGATTGAGAATGATGGCCTGAGAGTCTTGATTCCAGCCCAGCTGTAGAAAACAAGCACTTGGTTTGTTAAAAAGAACAATGTGTTAAGGTGAATAGTCCAGACCGCACAGCAAAACTTAACAGACAACAAAATATGAAACAAAAGGTTACAGACCAAGCTGCTATAACTAAACATATTAAATTGAATGTGGCAATCACTAACAGACAATGGGTAGTGGATACAAGAGTCAAAGTGACAGGGAACACATCAGATCATCAACATATTGTCAGACAGGGACTAACTCAGCACTGTGTACGGGAGCAATAGAGGGAACAAGGGATCTATGTCTAAAATCTGACTCCTCGAAGAATTAACCTGAGATACATTGATACTGTGTTAAACATTGATACTTACAGTCATTTGCTTGACAGCCAAAGAGAAGCAATGATATTATCCCATAGTTCAAAATGATTGACATATTACTCCCAAAACGCCTGCTCAAATTTATGGCAAAGTCAAGATGCAATTTTGTACAAGATAATTGTACTTCACTCAAACTGATGTTTCACTGTTTGTATAGTCAGTGTTTTACTATCGTTACTGAAATGTTTTGGTTAATAAGTAACCAATTATTTTGAAATGTCATCACAACAGTTCACAGAGCATTTATTTCAGTATTGACTGTATCAGCAAAATATATCATTCGTTATCTTGATGCAGATACATATTGTAACTGCTTCACATAGGGTAGAATTTTACTGGTACATCATTGACACTAGGAGAAGGGGAAGTGAAGGCTGGTAAAATGGTGGAAACATTGAGGCGGTCTACCCCATCAATGTAGTCCCAACTCTGGATCATTTTACTAGAGGCAAGACTGGAAACATAGGAGTTAACAACCAACTAGAGACAAACAGCTTGTTTAAATAACTAGAGGTCCTTAAGGGGGCCATTTTGTGAGACCGTTGCAATTTGCCAATGTCACATGGGAAGGTTGCCAGATGAGGGGTGGCAGTCTCTCTGAGGCTTTCAGGTGGAGTACATTGGAGCCATTGGAATTGGAGGCTACTTGGCTAAAAGGGTGGCCCCATGTGGCAAAGGCTGCTCCCATTGCCCTAATAGCAACTTTGGAGGTGGAATGGAGTTCTCCTCTGTGTGCCAGGGTCAGCCTGCTGGCCTGAAAGAGAGGTCAAATTTCTGTCTCCCCTGTGGTGGGCACCAAATGGAGGCATCTTGTCCTCCCCTGTACAGCTTTAGCAACAATCTTCTTTAATACCATCTATGGTTGGCCTTGCCTTGTCATTGTGATTAGTGCAGTAACACAACCAGGGCAGCTTGTGCTCCTACTCATCCCTCCTCAGTCATCTTGTTGAACGGCTATGTCAATCTCATGCCTGCGCTATGTGACTGCAGCTTGCATGGCAGTACACTGCACGCGCAGCAAACAAACAACTGCGTCTCAAAGTCTCAGAGAAGTTGTCCTCACAGAAGTACATGGAGTCAGGGGGTCCTGGCGTAGTAATGGGCAGCCTCTGATGCCAGTCCTGGGAATTGCCCTCGGCTGGTCGTCAGATCAGGGTGTTTCAGTCGGTGGCAGGGGAATGGGTCTGTGCCTCTACAGAGTAGGTAGTTTGTCACTGTCAGTCCTTTGGCTCCATAGTAGCCATTCTGGAGGGTGAAGGAGTAGGGGATGGGCGAGGGGTTGCTGCTGCTATGTGAAGGAGATTTGGCAAACTGTTCCTCAGGATTTTTGGCTGCAGGCTGGAGTGGAGGGGCTAATGACAATTATAGAGGAGGCAACAGTAAGTTCAAAGAGTTGGTTATAGATGTTCAGGGCCTAACTGACATGTAGAGGTGGTGGTTGGAAGCCACTGATGGTTGTGTGCTCACTGTCACCTTCCATCATGCTGGAAATTGAAAGTATGCAATGGGGAAGAATGGCTGCAAGGGGGGAAGTGGGTATGAGGGAAGGTCACAAGGAAGGAGAACAATGTTACACATAGACCCCTGCACCTTACAGGACACAGACTTGTGTGCCTCCTTATCCCTGGCCCATCGTAACGCTTAAGTTTCCTGTTTGCTGCATACCTTCCTTCCCCAAATATTGCTGACCACTTGACTCACACCAGCATTTTTGGACACATAGGCCAGGGAAAATATAGTGATGTTTCAGGATGAGGGCAACCATGATAGCAAATCCCATAGCCCTATATTAACCTTGTTCATCTTGCTTTCACACGCTGCAGTGGCCTTTCAACAGTCAAAAATCCTTGGCATATCCTCAGTGGGTGTGAGTTAGGCATCATGCTAGAGCATTGCTTTCACAGCTAAAGAGATAATCAAGCAAGCAGACGGAAAACCAAAACAATGAAATTTATGCAAATGTTCAAGTTCACGTATTGTACATTGCTACCAATGCATCCGAAGTGCCCTCAATAGGTTTTCTCTTTTTCGCCCTTCCATGACACCTTAGTGTCCTCCTGCTTCTACAATGGCTTACAAGGAGCTTTCTCAGCAATGGAGCCCATTAGTTCTGAAGGTTTGGTTGGGTGATGAATATTTGTATCTTGAACAGACTGGGGTTCCACTTGCCAGGTGCAAGTTGCCCCTCCTCAGCTTAAATCTCCAATCTCTGGAGGTGGTGGACCAGGCCACATCTGGAGTGTCCTGTGAGGAGACCTCTGAGAGTGGAACCTCAGCAGCTGAGTGCTCCTTGGCTCTGTCCTTTCTCCTTATGAGGAAGGGACGCCTTATGTGCACGCC